AGCAAACAAGCTGACGGCCCACCTAATGGAAAGTGGTAACCGTCGCCTATAGACATGAGCAGTACCATGGACACAACAGAGTATACTGTTTCGCCCATGATATGCATTGCCATTCCTGAGGACTCAGATGTTATTCCTCTGTACCCAGTAAATTCACATATCCCACCCTTCAAACCGAAACACAGCCATGCAAACACTACTGCTTCACGGTTGAAACAAGAATAGGACAGAGGTACCCAAGCAATCGACTTTTGTATAAAGTGGGAGACTGAAACGTGGAAACTCTGGTAGACTAATTAACTCACATCTTTAATTTTTCTTAGCATACCAAAACAAAACAATTAGATACATGTCAGCTATTAACTGTCCACTGTTGAACATGTAGGCATACAATTACAAGTATAATCAATGATCAGTACTTAGAGCAAAATTTAGTTAGCGCTCTATATATATATTTATATTACTCTCACGAAATGAAATGCAATAAAAACCAAAGTAATTTGGGTTAGACAGCAATTAGCGGAATGGGGTGCTGATTGATCGATGCCAACTGATGGAAATTATAGCGTAGGAGCTGCAATTAACTCGACTTTATACACAATATTATATATTACTATATATTTTATAATTAACTAGTTTTTACCTGTTATTTCGTCTGTATGACCATGATATACTAATTGACCGGAATAGAACTAGCATATAATTATCTGCTTCCTAAATACTAACTATTCTTATTCGTAAAAACTAAAACCTCTCATAAGCCTATTTTACTATTATGTTGATTATTTAATTTCATTAAAATAGAAATTTAACACAAAAGAAAGAGACAATAGCTAATTAAACAGTTTTATAGCTAATTAAACAGTTCAATAGTTAATTAAACAGTTTAGTAGCTAATTAAACAGTCCAATAGCTAATTAAATAGTTCAATGGCTAATTTAACTGTTCGATAGCTAATTTAACTATTCAATAGCTAATTTAACAATTCGATAGCTAATTTAACAGTTCGATAGCTAATTTAACAGTTCGATAGCTAATTTAACAGTTCTATAGCTAATTTAACAGTTCGATAGCTAATTTTACAGTTCAATAGCTAATTTAATAGTTCAATAGGTAATTAAATAGTTCAATAGCAAATTTTACATTACGTCCCACAAAAACCAACAAAACGAGTTATTTTGGTGTAATAATTAAAGTATTAAACCGATTTTAATAAAATGTCTATGAGACATGTAAAGATGTCTAAGAGATCTGTAAATATTTCCTTACAGATAAAAAAAAAGAATTTTCCAAATCGATATACAACTTAACTTTGATTTAACAAACATACAATCAAATTGAGAATCTCATTTTTGAAGTCAGTTGAAAATTGTTTTTATAAATAAGAGGATAAGTGTATACGGAATTTAATTCCAATTGGTTGATCCGTTAAGGCGCCCAAAAATATCAAACAGACTCGCTTTCTATTATATTTATAATATTAGTAAGAAATGTAATGAAAGACCGACAGATGTTGTTATACTTGTATTCGTAATAGTAGTAAGTAGATAGGTAGGTAAGGTTTTTTATATACTACTAAGGTGGCAAACAAACATACGGCCCACCTGATGGTAAGCAGTTACCGTAGCCTATGAACACCTGCAATACTTGAAGTATTACGCGCACGTTGTCGACCTTAAAGAGATCTCTATACCCCTTTTTTGGTAACCACATGCTGTAAGCTTTTGGAAAAACAAAAAATAGTATCATGAATAAAATTGGCGAAGTATTATAATTACAACTCCCATTAATATAAAAGCTTTTTTTTTATAATTTAAGACCTTTTACATGTAATCCTGGTATATAATTGTTTTAAACTCTAGCATTACTCTTTGATGTTATAGCGTTTAATGTCTGATCGTGAGAATTAATGATTTCAGAGAATTTTCCATAATTGTGTTTATTAATAATAAATATAATAACAATATCCGCTTACCATTAGAAAAAAAAACATTTCTGCCCATAAGCGACATTTATCACTTTTCATCAGGTGGACAATCAGCTTGTTTGTTCAGCCATTTCACGTCACATAAAAAGTAACATATAAAATTCAAACCAATGATTTGTAAAATACAATTTACAAAATTTACAAAGCACATAGGCTATGTAAATAAACAAATAAATTGCCTATTATTACCTCATGCTTACAATTTCAATGGAGTTTTCCGATGAACGTCTACCAATTTTGTATTTATCTTTTTGTCTTCAAAGAGCGATTCTGCTCTTCCCCCCTGTTATTCAATAAAGAGCACCTTTCACTCAGAATAAAGGCATCGCAAGCAATAAGTTTCCACTTCGATTCGTTTCGTTAGTGGCCAGCCAGTTCTGTTCGGTGCAAACTTTCCTGTGTAAATAGAGCTCTGCTTTGTGCAATTTTTCTTCAAAGTCGTTTCTGTTTTCACGGCCTATGGGAGAACTGGAAGGTCAAGTTTGACTGGTGAGTTAGCAGAGGGAATCGTAAATTCCTACCGGCCACTATAAGCTTAGTTTACGATTGCCAGTATCGAACAGCCATTAATCTAGCAAGAAACAGAAATAAAGTCACAAATCAGCGCAATAGTTTCTGAAATGAAATCACGCTCGCTCTTCGACAAGAACCCGCTTGTAAAGTTTCCGGGGTATCGTGTCACGGTAACTTTAAGCGGTCTGTAAGTCGGTATACGTATTATGGATAATTCCGAGTTCTGTTAACTTTCGGACGATATTCAAAGTTGTAAAACTTGTTTCTCGATATTTGAGATTATCATGAATTTCGATCGGATTTTCGACCGAGTGCAAAAAATAAAGAGGGCAATTCTATGCGTTTGTTGAATATATGATATTTTTGTTGATTCTGATGATTCTTTTTTGCAATCATAAAGTTTTACTCCCGTATTGGTGTCATGTATATATTTTATCGCAATTAAAATAGATTTTTTATGGGAATTACTATAAATTATGAAAATAATATTGAATAAAAACTGTCTTATGTCGAGCAACCCCGAAATTAAATTCTTGAGTGAAATTAATACTTTTCAAGTTTTTCTACATAGCTTAATTTATAAAATATGGTATAAAATATGGTATAAAATTTACTAAATAAAAAAAAATATATTAAAATGTATTATATATAAAAAGAACACAAATACATCATCATCATCATAACAGCCGTTAACTATCCACTGCTGAACATTCAGAATTGCTGAACTGCAGAACCCCCCATATAGGGGGTTTTGACGTTGTAGTAGGCCTTTGGTGATGTTTTAAGAGGACTGTTGCCTATCCCTCGACAATCAAGCTCCCTTAGTCACTTCTTACGACACCCACGGGAAAAGAAGGGGTGGCCCATTCTATACCGGGACCACACGGCGACCTACACTAATGCACACGAGAAAATATGCTTGACATGCGTAACAGTTGAATATGAAAAAAAATATCCGCTTAATTAACAGTACTTCGAATTGCTATCACAGAAATAATGTTATTTCGCCCACATCGTGTTTGTGCGTGGGTGTGTTAGACATCTAATACACCCACACAAATCACAGTTTCAGTCACAATTTTTGTATAAATTAGTATCTAAAAGTACTAAGGCAATTAAGATTTATCCCTGGTTTAACGAAATTCTTTTTAATTGGTTTACACGGTGTTAATCAAAAGTTTTTTTTTTTTTTAATTTTCCTCATTTTACAGTCTAGGTGTTTCTGTAACTTAGTACATGTAATTAAGGTTAAAAAAAAAAAACAACATTTTCATATCTTATTTATATGAAGGTGTACGAAATTCTAGCAGAAACTAAATTCTGTGTCCAATCCATGAGCAGGATCAGTCCAAATGACAGGTAAACTTAATATATTCCGTCGAATAGAATAGAATAGAATAGAATTTTATCCTGCTTTGTCAGCATATTACAAACTTTTCTAACTTCTCTTTACAATCGTCATCGTTCTATATTTTTATTTCATCATATCAGCCTTTAATTGTCCACTGCTAAACATAAGCCTCCCTTGGGGGGGGGGGGGGTTTGCCAGTAGTTGCTACGCTTGGCAGGCGGATTGGCAACCGCAGTCAGGCTTTAGAGATAATTTAAGAGAGACGCTGCTGCCCATCCCTCGCCGTTCCTTAGTCGATTCTTACGACACCCTCGAGATAGAAAGGAGTGGCCTAATCTGTCGGGACCACACGATCATATTTTTATTTATTTATTTTTTATTGACCACAATACAAAAAAAAATTTTCGATACAAAAGGTGAATTTAGTGTCTTATAGCATTCTCTCCCGGCTAACATTTGGAAAAACAGAAATGTAATTATGCGGTGAAAAATATTGAAAATGTGCAATAAAAGACAAATGTCGATTAAATCAGTCGACTAAATCAGAATACTAAATCAGAACAACATAAAAATTGGTTAATCTGTTTGGAACAAAAATTAAAAAGAGTATCTATCTGCAATATGTTTTAAAACCACGGACTCACTAATAAAACTAACTTACTAACATAAGCTTAGGGGGAAAGGGATTGTTAGTAATGGATACCGAGAATCGCATTGTTAGCAATATACCCAACCAGGTCGACCTCCACGCGGTTCCCCCTGGAAACTATCATGGTTAATTCCTGATGAATTCATCATGATGGACTAACTGGCCTGTTTTCATTTCATTCTCGTGCAGGTGGGGTTACCATACCATTTTCTTTCATAAAAAAAAAACATAAGTTATTCATTATACTTTTTATGTTGAGAATTAAAATGCATTCCATCTAATTCAAAATTACATGGTACAGAGGTATAACACTTGAATGGAATGGAATAGCAACGCATGAGGGGTATCATGGGTGACACGGTACGAGTACTCGGATACTCTGTTATGTCCATTATACTTTTCGTGCCTATATGCGGCGATTATCATTACTATTATTGCAAAAATCACTGGCACCTAATTTTCGACTTACAAAATTCTAATATACTAATTTCTTTCCACAGAAATAGACATCCACAAATCCGAAGAGTGCCGTTCTGAGTGGGTGGAAGTAAGGGACGGTTACATGCCCGACGCCCCGGTCCTTGGTCGCATTTGTGGCTCTGGGAAGGGTCCCATGATGCGCTCCAGTGGTTCACGCCTCACTGTTGTCTACCAGCCTGGGCTGAAAGTCAAGCCACATAGAGGGTTTAGGGCACATTATGAAGGTAAACTTACTGACAACTTCATATTACGTGTCGAAATTACTAAAATAATTTTCTATTAGATTATTGTTTAGACGGAATTTGTTTTTTAGTATTTTTTTTTATCATTTTATATACTTAGTTAAGATTAATCATCATTATTTAATTTATTTGTACACTGCTCAACATAAACCTCCCCTTGGGGGGGGGATGCCAGTAATTGTCATGATTGGCAAGCGGATTGGCAATCGCAGTCAGGCTTTAGAGATATTTTAAGAGACTCTGTTGCCCTCGCCCTTCCTTAGTCGACTTTTACGATACATATAATTATAATAATATAAAAAAAAATATAATATAATAACAAAATATATAAACGACGATATAATTAAATATACTTAATTATAAATAATCAGTTTTGACTCAAGCAACCAAATATAATTAAACTCATTCTGTTCAGAAACTGTATCTCCATACAATTGCATCTTATTATGTCATGACGGTAAAATCGTACGATATCATATCATGGCGTGGTACGGTAAATTTTAAAAGCGATCTATTTATTTTTTATATCAGCGGTATGCGGTGGAGATATTGAGGTGGACAGCAGCGGACATTTGGAATCGCCGAATTACCCAGACGATTACCAACCGAATAAACTTTGCATTTGGAGACTCTCAGTACCGCAAGTAAGTGTTTTATTTTTGTATTCAAAATATTGAATAATATCAATGATAATAAAAATAACCTATCTATAAATCTACATCATCATCTTCCTACCCTTATCCCAATCATTTGGGGTCGGCGTAATATGATTTTATCCATATTACAAAAAGATTTGGTTTTTAGTTTTACGACCGGCCGCCTGCCTATCTATAAATCTACATATAACTTGCTAATTATTGTCATCCTTCTGTATTTATCTACTGCTTTATGGAAATCTATAAAATCCTTTTTGTACATATTAAAACAACGATAGAAGAAATTATTACGTGTTTAATTATTTTCAACCGACATCAAAAAATGGAGGTTCTGAATTCGGATGTTTTTTATGTCAGTTACCTTGTAACTTCCTCAATTCTAAACCGATTAGAAAAATTCTTTTTTTTATCTCAAAAGATTGATTACAGATTGGTTCCGTAAAAATTTTATTTCAAATTCAAACTATTGTCTAACAGTCTAGTTTTAAATTAAAATAACTGGGGTTTGTCACAATTAAAGTCTGTTTTTCTTTTTTGGGGGACACAATTTTTAAATAATAAATCAACAATCAATAAATACATCAATGGTGTAAAAAGAGTACCATGGATAACAAAGAATACTATTTCGCCCATGATACCCCTCATGCATTGTCATTTCTAAGGGCTAAGGTGTTACGCCTCTGTGCCCTATAATTTTACTGTCATATCCCATCGATCAAACCGAAACACAACTGCTTCATTGCAGAAACACGAATGGAACAGAGGTAACCAAACAAACGACTTTTGTACAGTCTCCCTCTAGTATTTCCTGATTTTGTAAAAAAAATATACTTAAGTAAAATTTGGTAATAACCCGAATAAATTTATTATTTTAGTAAAATATCATTTTTTCCTCAGGACTACCAAGTGGCTTTAAGATTCCATTCGTTCGAAGTGGAGAATCATGATACATGTTCGTACGATAAAGTGAAAGTAAGAGATGGTGACTCAATGGATAGTCCACTTATAGGAATGTTCTGTGGACACAAGATACCACCCGATATCAGGTATATTATATTTTTTCCTTTTTCAATCGACTTCAAAAAGTATTTTTTATGTTTGTTACCTCATGACTCCGTCGGTTATAAATCGATTTGGAATTTTTTTTTTTTATTTGAATGAATGAATGAGTATACTTTATTTGCATTATACAATATAGGAAATAAGCAAGACAATTTACAAACACAACGATACAATTATATAAGTACAGTAAGGTATTTGTAAGATATATAACGTAGTATATGATATAAAACGCTTCTCTGAATGTAAATATAAATAATTTTCTGTATAAAAATAAGTAAATAAATATCTAAAAACTTATTTTTATAACATACATAATATGTGCAACATTACGAAGTCAAGATTCTTAAATTCGAAAGGAATAACAAAAAGGATTATTTTCCCTTACTTACATTTAAATTTAGATAAAATAAAGTCTGTCTTTATAACTTCTTTTACTTAACATAATAAGAAAGAGACTAGACGGATTAACCGTATTCTTATTTGCTTTAAGGATTTGCATTACTTTTTAGACGTCTTTACATTGTGAATTTATAATAGATCCTTCAGATGCACAAAGACTTATCTTGCATTAAAATTGCGCTTTTTAATAGCTTTACAAAGTCGTATTATAAATATACTAATATTACTCACATGTGTAGAAAATATAACAATGTTTTTTTTTTATACAACTTAGAATGGCAAACAAGCTGACGGCCCAATGATGGAAAGTGGTAACCGTCGCCTATAGATTTATTACCATGGACATAAACAGAGTATACTGTTTCGCCCATGGGCGACATGCGTTGCCATTCCTGAGGAATGGTTATTCCTCTGTACCTTGTAAATTACGTATATAATTCAAACGGAAACACAGCCATGCAAACACAACTGCTTTACGGTTGAAACACGAATGGGACAGAGGTACCCAAGCAAACGACTTTTGTACAAAGTCACCCTCTAGTATGTATGTATGCAAGGACCTTGATATTTTCCAACAATCCTTGCAATGTTACATTAAGGCTGCCAATTTGTTACTTTAAATCTATAGTCGCTATTCTTTTAATGTTTATAATATTGCATGTTATGCAGAATAGTTATTGGAGTGCAAACTTGATGCTATTTTATGTAATAATTATTTTACTTATGTATTAATTTGTACTTTGTTACTTTGCTATAAATAAATAAATTATAAAGGGGAAGGACTTATTTACTTTTTTATTTATATATTTGTTTGTTTATAATGGATAAAGTCAAAACTACTCGACCGATTTTAAAAGTTACTTTACCTATAGAAAACTGCATTATTTTATTGTTATTTGTATTTTAAATAAAAATTTGTGTTTTTTTTTATTTTCAATCGACTTTGAAAAAAATTTAGTTCTCAATTCATTTGCATTTTTTTTTTATGTTTGTTACCTCATAACTCCGTCAGTTCTAAACCGATTTGGATTATTCTTTTTTTATTTGCAAGGATGTACTTATAGATTGGTTCCATAGAAATTTTATCAAAGTCTGTTCAGTAGTTATTAGATCAAAGTAACTGGTATTGTTACATTTCAAGTTTTTTTTTTTGTGGGATACAATCTTCAATTATTAATTCACAACTTTTTTATATCATATTATACATGTAATAGCAATAAATAAATGAATGAATGAATGAATGAATAAATCATAACATATTTAACCTATTACATGGGTAGATTAACATACGAGTGATTTTAACTTTACCACGAATAACTATAATATGCAGCCACTTCAAGCGATTTCATTACCATAGCAACAAAATTACAGGATACAGAGGCATCATAGTTCTCATGAATGACAACGCGTGAAGGATATCATGAACGACACAGTACATCCTGTTATGTCTATGGTACTGTTCATGTCTATAGGCGACGGTTACAACTTTCTATCAGGTGGGCCGCCAGCTTGATTACCATTGTATGTTAAATAAAAAAAAATTTCAAGCAATAATAATCAGGATATTTATCATATCAGCCTTTAATTGTCCACTGCTGAACATAAGCCTCCCCCTTGGGAAGTTTTTCCAGTAGTTGCCATACTTGGCAGGCGAATTAGCAACCGCAGTTAAACTTTAGACACGTTTTAAGAAGGACGCTGCTGCCCATCCCTCGCCCTTAGTCGGCTTTTGCGACATCCATGGAAAAAGAAGCCGGGACCACACAGCCTACGATAATAATGTATAATATTAAATTAATGTGGCATTGATCTTTCATGATATTCCTTTACATTTTGCAGATCAACCTCAAACAAATTACTAGTGATCTTCGAATCAGACAGTACGGTACAGAAAGCAGGTTTTTCCGCAACCTTCATGAAAGAATTTGATGAATGCGCATCAATAGAACACGGTTGCAGTCACTCCTGCGTTAACACATTGGGTGGATATGAATGCGCTTGCGATATTGGATACGAGTTGCATTCTGATGGCAAGAAATGTGAAAGTAAGTTTTTTTTTTTCATAATACCACAATATGTGACAAATCTGTCTTAAGCGAACACATACACACACATACACACACCGATACGACAACATAACCTTCAAGAAAAGAGCATATTCCTTTTTAAAAGGCCGGCAGCACACCTGCAATGCCGTAGGTGTTGTGGGTGACCATGGGCGGCGGTAGTCACTTACCATCAGGTGAGCCGCATGCTCGTTTGCCCCTTGTGTTGTAAAAAAAAAAAAAAAAAACAGAGATAATGAAGTCTATAAATATGATCGACGGAAAAGAGAATGAAAACCTTTTGAGAATAAAAACGAGAATTTTTACTCTCAAAAGTCGAGAGTCAAGAGTCGAGAGACCACTCTGGACTACATTCATTATCATTTCAACCGCTAATTGTTCATTGCTGAACATGGGCCTTCCCCACAAGGGGAGTTTTGCCAATAATTGTCATACTTAACAGACAGGTTGGCAACCGCAGTTGGGCTTTTAGGGATGTTTTAAGAGGGACGCTGCTGCTCATCCCTCTACCATTAAGTTACTTTAGTCGCCTCTTACGGCACCCACAAGAAAGGAATGGGTAGCCTGAACCACTGGACTACATTATGCCATAGTTATTATTTTTACAGGATAAAAGGTGAATATATCGGACATTCTTCATCCTAAAGTTTATAACTTTCTAAAAGCTTTCTGATTCTCTTGTACCAAACACTCCACTCGTTTGCAATACTAGGGACGTAAATAACTTTAGATATTGTGAAAATTGAATATTCATTTCACGGCATTTTTTTTTTTTTGTTTTAATACTTGAACAGTTGCCAACAGAAGTTGAAAATTTCGCTCTCATTATAATACACTCGTTTGTGAGTGATATTGAATTTCTGTAACTGACCGAAACTTGAATACCACATCTTGAAGTTTACTCTAAAGTTTGACATTCTATGTTAATTGAATCGTCACAAAATTAAGAATAACACAAAAGAATTGAACATTTTATTATTGTTTATGAAAATCCTCTAGTTCTCTTTGCTTATGCTGTCTTAAATATAATTAAAAAAAACCATCAGCTACGACATTTCCACATAGTACAATAAAATATACTCATTAAAAAAAATATCCTGATAGAGATTTCTTACATGTTTTTGTTTTTGCTCTCTAAGTATCAATTACAATAGTTTCACCCAGACTGTCCACGTTAATTTTTCTTCTATCTCTTCGTCTCTTGTATCTATCCATTTCAAACTCATATATTTTTTTTATATTACATTTTTTACCAGTTCTAATATTATAAAAAATTTGTTTGTTACCTCTTAGCATCTTAACGCTTTCAACTTTTTGCCATGAAATTTTACATAAGTACACGTATTATTTGGGATGGAGAACTGTATGGAGTACTGTTGATTCAGGTCAACAGATAAATCCCGCTTACGGGAATAAAATTCTGGATATAAACTAATGCATAAATAACCTTTTTTTTTATACCACTGAGGTGGCAAACAAGCATACGGCCCACCTGATAGTAAGCGGTTACCGTATCCTATGAACGCCTGCAGTACCAGAGGCATTATGCGCGCGTTGACGACCCTGCATAACCTTTAATCCCTCATAATATATCGTAGGAAATCAGTAGATGCAGGTGGCTCAGGATCATTCCTTATGGCAGTCTATGAGAGAGGCCTATGTTCAACAGTCGACAGAGAATGATGATAAATCTCTTACATAACATTTACTGACTTCCTCGTAAGACTCACTTCTTATGTATATGATATTGACGATTCAATATTAAATTTTAAGATGCATGCGGAGGAGCTCTGTACGGTCCAAATGGCACGATAACATCACCATCGTTCCCGGACCTATATCCGCCGTCTAAGAATTGCCTTTGGGAGATCGTGGCTCCACCACAGCACAGAATCACATTGAACTTCACCCATTTCGACTTAGAAGGCAACAGCATGTATCAACAGGTCAGATATATTAAGTTTTGGTCAAATGCCTCATGTTGTGTATATATATATATATATATATATATATATATTTTTAATTACATTACACTTCTATAATTACTATATTTCACTACTATATATCACTAAAATTTCAATCAAATCCTAAAAAAACTTCATTAAGGTGGTTGGTTACTAAATAACATGACACTTCGAGACTTGTGGTTTATGTTGATTACTTTGTAATTAAAGATATTTTGAGGTAAAATTTCTAAATTGTCGAGTGATTTTTATTATTGTGTATGATAGTAAAGTAACAGATAATACGTGATCTTTTCCTAAATGAATTATAACCCACACAATTACAATGTTTCTTGCTAATATATCTTTTTTACAAAGTTGTACAATACAAGAGAAGAATAACGAAAATTACGATAAATTATTACTATGTTGATAGAAAATATATAAAAGCACTCGCCAATTTAGAAGTTTAGCCTCAAATTATTATAAAATAATCAACAGTAACTATAGGTCTCGATTCTAAATAGTAGCTGCTCTATTTGTTTTGTCTTTTATACTTCTTTCCTGAACTCTATCTTAAGCCATCTTGCTAGCCATCTATGCCAGTATTGTAATATTGTTTAAAATCTTCCATGATACGTTAGTCTTAATATGTATGATGGTAATTAAACAACCATCATCATCACAACCTTTAAAATATTACAGTTATATAAATAAATAGATACATGTTACATATATTTGTTGTCTATTATTTTGCATTTATATAATGGCAATTTTCAGGAATGCGAGTATGACAGTGTAACGGTTCATTCCAAGTTAGGAGCAGACGTGTTAAGAAGACACGGAGCTTTCTGTGGCAACGCATTACCGCCACCTGTTACATCGGACGGCTCAGTTTTAAGAGTTCAGGTATACTTCCAGTACCATTTTATCATCATCATCATTTTAAGCATTTATTTATTTAAACTTTGGTGACCAATAAAATTCAGAAGGAAATGGATAAACTTGGAGCCTTTGAAATGTGGTGCTGGAGAAGGATGGAGAAAATTAGCTGGAGGGATCGAATTAGCAATGAGGAGGTCCTGCTTAGGACAAAAAGGAAAAACGACAAATTATTAGAACTATTGAGGATAAAAGGGGAAAAATGTTAGGACACTTGATATGACACGACGAACTTATGAACATTATAATAGAAGGTAAGATAGAAGGAAGAAGGGGGAGAGGGAGACCGAGACATAGTTACATCAGGCAGATCAAGGAAGGAGTTGGTGTCGTGTCGTATCAAGAGGTGAAGAGACTCGCTGAAAATCGTAGTGAGTGGCAAGAGCTCCACCGACAAGAGCGCAGCTCTTAAATAGGATAGATGGATAGATAGACTAATAAAATGTGGTACGAAAGGCAGACATAATGCTATAGATATTCTTTACTAGTCGACCTACAGTCATTTTAACCATTCACAGTCCGCTGCTGAATATATATCTTCCTCATAAACTGTCTTGGGAATCTACTGACTCTCTACATCAGATTCGTCTTCACTCTTTCTAGCTAAGGCATCAATTTTTTTTTATGTCCTTATCTTAGCCAAGTTCTAAATCTATCTCATTCATATTTTTGCCAAATATACCTCAGATCATACTCTCCATACTGTTGGATATAATAATTTGAATTACTAATTTTACCATATGCAACTTACAATGGCAAACAAGCTGCTAATCCTCTTGATGGAGTGGTAACTGTACGTATAGTTGACCTACGAACGTCCATGTGTTGTCCCTACGAACAACACATGGACATAATATACTATGACGCCTCATGCATTGCCATAACTAAGATATTGTTTTTCTACCTTATAATTTCACTGCCATAACCTTTAAACCGAAACACAACCATGCAACCACATCCGCTCGGGGGAAAGAGCTCGTTAGTAATAGGATTTGTTAAATCCATTTTTAATGCCCATTGCTAGCAGCATATACTATGAGGTTAATTCTTGTTGAACTAGTTACGATACACCACATATCATCCCTATCATCCCTCACTGGTTCTCCGCCAACGTATACCAAAAGTACGGGCGAGATTACCATTCTATTTTCACCTATAAAAAAAACCACACCTGCTTTGTACCATTTACATGGTAGAATTGTAAATATTCTTTGCAGTTCACATCTGACGCGTCAGTTCACCGATCGGGCTTCGCAGCAGTGTACTATATCGATGTAGACGAATGTGCGGACAACAATGGCGGATGCCAGCACGAATGCCACAACACCCTGGGAGGATACGAGTGCGCCTGCCACAGTGGGTTCACCCTACACCCGAATAAACACGACTGCAAGGAAGGCGGTTGTAAGCATGATGTTACACAACCGCATGGCACCATTGTAAGGTGAGTACATAAGGTGGTTTGGCTTTTGCTTCTCTTTCCGACGGTCGCTGGTTCGATTCCTGTATAATACAAAAAAATTATTTATGAATGTATCTATTTATATTGAAGATGGCTTCTATGGCTTGTATGTATATCATGTGGTCCCGGCATAGAATGGGCCACCCCTTCCTTTCCCGTTGGTATAGTAAGAAGCGATTAAGGGAACATAATAATGGAGAGGTGGGCGGCAACATCCTTCTTAAAACAACTAACTAACTACGGTTGTCAAACCGCCTGCAAAGAATAGCAAGTACTGACAAAAATCTCATTATAGGGAAAGTCTATCAAAAAAAAAACCGTAGTAATGCGGACTACCTGTCCCATTGCTAGCAGTATATCCTATCAGGTCGACCTCCACCTGCTCCCCACTAGAAAACATCGCGCTGAATTCCAGGTGTATTTGTCACGATGGTCTAACTGACCTGCATTTTCATTCTCACCTATCATCTCTCAATTGTACCCCGCCAGTGTATACCGCTAACGCAGACAGCGTTACTATTTTATTATCATCCATTAAAAAAAATATTAGTATAGATAGTACAGATATAGCATAGAATCTGTACTAGTATTTATTGAATGCCCAAACTATCTTTTCTAAACACAGTCCAAACTATCCATCAGGTATGGTATTTCTATACTAAATATAATTTGTACATCGTTTAATTTTTAATGTCAAGGTTATAAAAAGATCTGAAACGTATATCAAAACATTAATTACAACACGTTCTTTAATTATTTTGAACACAAATTATATAATTTCTAATAATTTACAAGTGATTGTATCAGTTACCCTCGACTACACCAGGTCACCGTATCAAGCTCATATTCAACGTGTTTGAACTAGAACCACATCAGGTATGATTTAGTATTTCTATACTAAATATAATTTATAGTTAATAACATCGTTTAATTTTTAATGTATAAAATATACTTTTAAATTAGTTATAGTTTATGTGTTGTACATATTATGTAAATGTACAATAATGTATAATTACATATAATTATATAATGTACAATAATGTATAATTATATGTAATTATACATTATTGTACATTTACATAACATGTACGTATGTATGTATTACACAATATTTACAACGAAGTACAATTAATGTAGTTATGTGTAATGTAATTTGTGATTTAATATAAATACGTTTTTAATTATTTATCTGCAACAATTTAAAAAAATCCGCCGCATAATTATATTTCTGTTTTACAAAGCTTTTTTTTATACTACAATGGTGACAAACGAATATACGACTAGTCTAATGGAAAACTGATTTACCGTAACCTTTAGATGCCTGTAACAACCATGTTGTCACACGCTCTCGAAAAACCATAATACTTACTGACTGTTGATTGGTATCTCTACCAATCTATATAATATACATTTATAAAAGTATTTTTTTAAAAAATTAAACTATTGTTGTTACATATGTATAAATAAATTAATTAATTATTACATTTAAAAAGTTATGTATTCTTATACGTAACTTTGTAAATGTAATAATTAATTTATTATTTATTTATTATAAGCCAACTATTTTTTCTTGAGTGATAAAAGGATATCTTTATGACATCCTTTATTGCTTTTAAACAGCGAAAATATTGTACAAACAAATTGAATAAACGATCACAAGTGGTAATTGTGCCAATTTTATGAAATGGAGCATCGCGATTCGGTAATGCTTTTCGAGATGACCGACTGACAGAATATACAGAGCATGCCAAATTTTACTGTTAATTAATAAATGTAAAAGAAAGCAAAGGAAACATTTTATGCATTTTGTGATAGGAATGAATAAACTCCTTATAGCAGATATAACATATCGTCTAGTTTCAAAGGAAATTAATGGTATATGGCAATTTGCTGGTGTTCATTACATAACAGTACAAAACGAAAATTAATTAATTGATTGTGTGTTTGTGAATGTACTTGTATAATATTTACTTAGATTATATAGATAGATTGTCTCCATACACTACCAAAGGGAGACTTTGTACAAAAGTCGTTTACTAAGGCATCATATAAATGAAAATACTGGTCACATACATACAAATACACACACACACACACACACACACACACACACACACACACACACACACACACACACACACACAAACACACAAACACACACACACAGAGACACACACCACACACACTCTGTCCTATTCGTGTTTCTACCGTGAAGCAGTTGTGTTTGCATGGCTGTGTTTCGGTTTGAAGGGTGGTATATGGCAGTGAATTTACAGTGTACAGAGGAATAAAACCTAAATTCTCAGGATTAGCAACGCATGGGAGGTATCGTGGGCATGTATGAAACATTACAGTTTATTTGCCAATTTCACGTAACGATCATTTCTCGAAAATATAATGTAAACAAAACTTGGTATTCTACTTTTTTATACGACAAAGGAAACATTTTATAATTTTGGTAGGAATGCTTATAGTAGATATAAACTAGCGTACAGCTGGTGTTCATTACGTCTGATGGTAAACAGTCGCTGTAGTTTGTGGACGCCTGCAACACCAGAGGTGTCAAGTACGTGTTGCTAACTCTGAAGAAACATTAATACACTCTTTTGAAAGAAACCCATTTCTCATTAAGTTCTATTGAAATAGATTGTAGCAGAGGAAACTTTACAGGTATTTTAGGCAAGAATAAAAAGACATCTTATAAAAATTACAACTATATTACGGATTCAGGCAATATTTATAAACGATCGCTGCGCTACAGAAGTTATTTTACCGTGCAAATAGCAGCATGTTGGTTAATTAAAAATAATTTCTTTCCAGGAATGCGCTTACGACCATGTCACAATTTATGATGGAGCATCAGCAGACGAGAAGACGTTGGGCAGATTCTGCGGCAGCAAACTACCACATCCCGTAGTGGCGTCTCAGAATCAGATGTACGTCGTATTCAAATCTGATGCCTCAGTGCAAAGGAAAGGATTCCTGGCTACACACTCCACTGGTCAGTGAATATTGTATTGCTTATTACTTTCCTGATAATCTTATTATTATTATTTTATGCAACTTAGAATGACAAACAAGCTGACGGCCTACCTGATGGGAAGTGGTAATCGTCGCCTATAGATGTGATCAGTGCCATGAACATAACAGAGTATACTGTTTCACCCATGATACCACCCATGCGTTGCCATTCCTGAGGACTCAGGTGTTATTCCTCTGCACCCTGTAAATTCACGCCATATCCCACCCTTCAAATCGAAACACATCCGTGCAAATACAACTGCTTTACGGTTGAAACACGAATTAACAACTATATTTCCACCAATCATCTGTCACTGGTACCCTTGCATAAATCCATAGCTCAGGGAGGGTTGCCATTATCATTCCATTTTCATTTTGTTTTAATAAAAGTAAAAACATCTAGTAGGTATTATATTATCATCAGTTAGATATAAGTATTTTTAATAGCAGTGAAAGTACAATAATTATCTTTATCACTAGCTTGTGGCGGGTACCTCGCAGCGTCAGAATCTGTCAAGCACTTATACTCGCACGCGCGGTACGGAGACGACTCTTACGAATCCAGAGCAGACTGTGATTGGAGCATTGTGGCTCCAATGGGCCAGTTTGTGAAGCTTACCTTCCTGACATTCGAGTTAGAGCCTGAGTCTAACTGTGGGTACGACTACGTGCAGATATTTGGCGGTTTGGATGGAAGTGGGGGAGACTATGGCGCTTTTTGTGGAACCAAGGTAAAGGATGAATTCTGTTAATTAATTTTATAAAGATAATCGTAAAAGTATAATCTGTTTAAGAATAAAAATAGAGTATGCGAATTTCTTGCATTAAAAAAATAATATCTTCACGACTGTAGATAGTAGACTGTACCATTAGCATTGTAGTATAAGCAATAGTTCTGTATGATCCTGACACCGTTTTCTATAGCCAGAAAGTAAACTTTAAAATACAATAAGGACGTCGCTCGCCGCGTCAGCCAGATTCGAATCAAACTGTGCTCAGAGGACTTGTTCAATATGATGCCCACGGTCACTTTCTACTATCGTACAGCTCGCCATCGATAGGGAGTTTACCCCAACACCTTAGAGTGTAGATGGTCGCGTACAGCGTGGTTTCAGAGTTGCTTTCTCTCACGAACGATCAATTTATTGAATATGCTTAATCGAGGTTTTTGGGGTACTTCAAAAAAGGGGTAAAGAGGTTTCTTCATGGTCGGCAACGCGCGCGTAATGCCTCTGGCCTTGTTCATAACGGACGCCAACCGCTTACTGTCAAGTAGACTGTAAGCTTGTTTGCTACCTCAGTGATATAAAAAAAAAAACAAAATTACTACTACGTTCTCGGATACAGTCATTTATTTATTCAAGAAAAAATAAATGAAATACCTTTAAAATTTATTGAATATTTTTATATATATAAATATTCATACGGCTCGCCCTTGAAATTAAAAACTAAATTGTATTTTTTTTTCACAGTTGCCTACAGAAATTATATCAACAACTGAAGCACTTCTCGTTAGATTCCGCACCGATGATTCAATAGTTTTCAAAGGCTTCTCTGCGTCATACCAAGCAGTGAAACCTGAAATATCCAGCGAAGAAGACAACTCCGAAGGTGGAGAAGATCTCGACGAGGAAGAAGAAGACGAACGGATGCCTCCTTTAGTGGTGGGGAGGAGGGGTCTACGCGCCCCCCTACTTCGATACGTGCGGCGACCGACGTGACGGTGGCCGTTACCCCGACATCCGAGGCATAGGCGGCCGCATCGTAACACGCATACTCGGTTCCGATCGGAAAACGGCCCTTTTTAAATCGGTATTTACCGGTTTTTTAATAATGTTGCCAGGTCATAAATGTCATCTTGACATTCCTCGGTGAAAATGTTCATGTTTACTTTATTTTTAAATAGGTCATTTTTTATTTAAAATTAATAGTCAAGAATTAATAACAATTTTTAGTGTTCACAACGCTTATTGGTAAAAATAGGGGAAGTTCATGTATAGTTTTGCAAAAGTGACGCTACTATATTACAACGTAAACAACAGAAAATAGTTGTTATGTTTAACAAAGAGCGACTTTAGAAATACTCCATAGTTATAAAAAAAACTTTTGAATATTAATGAGAATTTTGGTTTGAATGGTACATGGTCCCAAAAGAAAACAAATGTAAATAAAACCTTTTAAAATACCTTGAAATACAACACTGACCATTATTTGTGTAACAGATGTTTTTATAAAAATATGCTTTTAATAATTTCCGAGCTTCTACAAATTAAGTAGAAATAAAATTTGTTTACGTTATAACACAAATGTACCTCAAACATTTAAATTGGTAGTAATTTCCTATTGTTGTATTCTTTTATTTGTTTAGTTGGAATTTTTTATTTGAATTTAAATTTAAAAAAATGTAATGTATGCATTTACATAAATATTAAACGAGACCGAATGTGTCCATTGGAATCAATTTAAGAATTAATTTTTTTATGACTGAAATGACGTGTAAATATATTATTTTGTAGATTAAGTTAAGGTCCAATACTTAAATCTAATAGAGATTGCCGAAAAATACTCATTATAAATATTAAAAAATAAGGTAAGTGTACATTGTTGACACCTTTATCTTAGTACAGTGAGCGTAGATACATTTAACTTATAATAAAATTCTGTTACCAAAGAAATATACTCATTTTATAAGTACAGATTGCAAATTCATATGTAGGTACCTACTGAAATTGTATCCTAGACATGTTATTAATAGTGCCATATTATATCAAGTACCTTTTTACCTACATAACCTGTTAAACATATTTCATGCTATTTGTAATAATTACTTGTTCTACAAGCCAATTAAATAATACATTTAGTATTAAATGAAACCGCAATAATCAATCGTTTCAACAAGTAAAAACATGGCTAATTAATGCATTCGTAAAAAAAGGAATTTTATTATTTTGTACTTACTGATTTTAGTTTATTGGTTTGCCTATATTCTCTTCGTAATATTAAATGCATTTATAGCACAATTAGTGTTAATATAATGAGACAATATGTAAAATTAAGAAAAAAAATATGCGAATGGATTTTGTCGTTTAAAATTAGGTGTTCAAATCCATATCATTAAGAATCTCTCGATAGTTCTAATGTACATTGTACAGGTACTTATAAGCAAATAAAATTATGTGATTTCCTCTTTATTTTTTTATTGAAAGTAAGTCTTTATTGTTTTAGGGAATATTGTCATGAAATTAATGAGTAGATAACTAATTCATTTTTTGGAGGATACAAAAGAGAGTACAGAGTAATATTAAACTTTGTCAAAATATTTCCAAGTGTATATGAAGTCAGAATTAGGATGATATTTTATGTCATGTCAAATTATTGGTTATTATCTGAGCTCATTATTTCCTTATCTATGTTACTAATATACTGTAAAAAAAAAATAACTACCGATCTAGCAAATATGAATAACCTTTTTATTACTAAAAATGCTTACATACCAGTGCTTGGGAAGGAGTTTTGAGACATACACGGGTATTATGTAACAAAAATAAATCAGTTATAAAAGAATCTTAATGTGAATATACACATTTTTTATTGGTTTATAATATAATGGTAACCCCGCCTGCACTATCAGTATACGCTGGCGGGGGTCACCAGTCAGGAGTGATACGAGTATTTGCAAGAATGAAGTTAAATCAGGTAGCCCATCATGACGGATTCAACAAGAATTAATCATGATAGTTTCCAAAGAGAACCGCGTGGCAGTCAACCTAACAGGGTATATTGCTAGCAATGGGGCCACTAGTCCTCATTACTGACAATCCCTATCTCCTCGAATACACACACTTAGGTGCCGTAATTCTGAATGATAATTGATCTTTGTTCTAAAGATGAGGAAATCATTAAAAAAAAACTACCAATAAACAAGATTATAATTTGTCATCTATTAGGTGGAAACCTGTTTACATTATGAAATATAAGATTAATTTATGACATTTAATGACCTCTGACTACCACTGTTTATTTGTAATATAACTAATTATGAATAGCTTTGTGCCAAAAATGGATAGGTACTTAGTAATTGTTATTGAAAATAAGTTAGTTTTGTAATATATCTAAGACATGAAATATTTATACGTAGGATCGTTATTTTTATTAAAATGATATAAATCCATTGTTGTTTAATTAATCTACTACGTTATGAAGTTGCGAACATAATAAAATACACTTTAAAGTAAATAGGTACCTAGAATTAAAATTTAATATTTTGTAATAACAATTTATGGACATACATTTAGGACGCCTGTCAAGCGTGACAATTACTGTCATATCCCTTCTTATGGGAGAGACCTATGTTCAGCAGTGGACAGTTAAGAGCTGATATAATGATGATGATGACGATTTAAACAGTTTTATTAAGCACTGATTGGAAGTATATCTACTGGAAGTGCCACTATTTGTGTGATTTGAGAATAGAATAGAAATAATCTTCATTCAAATGTTCTTGTAAGTTCTTTTAAATCATTACTTTTATATTTTGTGTATCTGGGTTCGGGATGATATCTCCTAGAACTTGCAAGAAACTCAACAGTTACTATTTTCAAATTAATATGTACATGTATTAAAATTAGATTCTATTTATATGTATTATTAAATGAAAAATAAACAAGCAAACAGAGCAGACCAGTCGCCACAAGAAGCACCCGTTCACTAGTATGACGGATGAATCAGCTATAATTACGCTCAACCATATTTTAAGGAACTCAACTACCTAGCCCATTACATCGTCTCCAGTTAGGGCCTTATAGATAGTATGACTAGCTTCGACTTACTTGAATACATCCTAAGTACAAATTTCGTGATTATACGATGTACCTTATCATCATTTGCAGCTATTACTACAACATAAGCACCGATTTCATCTTGTCTTCAGATTAGTACGATAACTTTCAATAACGTCCAGATGAAGTCAAAACAATTGTCAAAATGACGAACAGTAAGTTCCCGTTATTCAGCTATATGTAATTATATATATAAGTATACAAATTTTAAAAATAAGAAAGGTCTCATTTTAAATTTCCTTTTTTTTCTTAGTATGTTATTTTTTTCGGTTATTAAATTTATAAAAAGATTTGAGTCTATAACTATTCGTTTATTGTGTTATTATAAAAAAAACTAAACATATTTTTATCATTAGATAACTAAATAGATTAACTATACTGGATAGTATATATATGTATGCGGTGCGTATGTAGGTGATCAAAATATATCTTTTGTTCCTTTAATAATCGTTGTTCATTTTATAAACTCTGTTATCTCCTTAAAATTGGATTTTCTACTTTCTGTTTTGTGTTTAATGCTTCATCCTGACCATTATATTTTACAAATCATTAGCCTTATTTTTAGTAATAATAGTATAAAATTTTAATTCATAATTACTAAAAAAACCTATCCAATATATCTATGTCTCTTTATTTCCTGTCCAGTTTCCCTTTCGTTGTAAGCTATTGGGTAATACTATTGCTAAATTAAAGAAAAAGAGAATAGGTAACTAATATAAATGAATATTGAATTGTTTTGTAATTCCTTTTTATTCTTTTTTTCTTTTAGAATTTGTAAATTAAACTATAAGATTTTATGAATTGATAGCCATTGTAATATAGTTCCTTTATACTTAAATAAGCAATAATTAATAATTAGGTAAGAGACCTTATTTAAAAATACTCAATATTTTTAACAAGTTACGTAGATTGTTCGACAGATACTGGTTATATTATAAAATATATTTTATTTATTGCAGTTGGCAACTTCGATTCAAACTTTAATATTTTGTTTGTCATTGTCATGTCACCACAGAGCAGGTAAGTTAATCACTATGTTACTTAAGAGTCGGCACTGGCTTTAGATTTACAAAACTATTAAATTTAATCTATACAATCATCTGAAATCATCAACACAATGAAATAAATAAATACTCATGTGCTATGTAGTTTATAACATGTTTTAATCTAAAATATTAATATCGATAGGTATTAAAGAAGATGTAAATATCTTTTATATTATATGATAACGCAAATCAATGAACGGGTTGCATAGACTTCAAAGTAAGTACGATCTTTTTTTATTGTGAAGTGACGCAGGCCTGCTTACTATTGTCAGTTTAAAAAGTCAAAACCTGTAATTTATTTATTTCTATTGGCGTCTTTTCAGATCTCTCTGACCTGGTTTAAAATTAAAGCATTTAAAGGACGTGATCCCTAATTATAAAAAAAAATATTCAGACAACGCTTTTAATATAATACTAGTTTAAAAATGTCTGCCTTAGCGTTCAAAGTGAAAAGCAAAAATGGTCAACAAGTACTAAAAGATTTGACCTCTAATAGTACAGTGGGTGAACTAAAAATGTTTCTGTCTAGTTTAACGGACGTTAGTTGCGAGAGGATTTGTGTGTTGTGCGGCTATCCACCGAAGCCTATCGACACCAGTGATGACAATAAGAAACTAAGTGATATAGGATTGAAAACTGGGGAAACCTTGATAATTGAAGAGAAAACGGCTCCAGCGGCACCAGCTCAACCTAGTAAACCCGCCAAACCCGTAGAGAATGGCGTGGTTTCACATGAAACAATAGGGCCTTGCAGACCTGGTATTCTAATGAAGAAAGTAGTGCCATCTGACAATTCGTGTCTTTTTACTAGTATAGGTAATTATTCACCTTTCTAATGCTGATGATTTATATATTAAACACACACAAAATTATCTAGCTACAATCTTGTATGAAACAATACTATTAATATTATAATTCTAAAAGTTTTTAAAGTTGTTTATATGTTTGTTATTCAATCATGGTTGAAAGGATTTCAATAAAATATTGTTACTCAGTTTATATCCTGACATGGTACATAAGATACTTCAAATAGGCTACAGGTGATTTTTTTTTTCTGCTTCATGTACACAGCAAAATCTTAATAAAAATAATTATCTACTTCTCCATTTTAAATAGGTACTATTATATATGTATAGCAAAGTTCATAATTGGTTGAAGGTGCATAGAGGTAATGGACATAAACTCTATTATATAATTTTAATAAAGGAGTAAGGCCATTTGTGTAGTAAAAATAAATATTGTCAACTATTATGGTCCATAATATAGTCTCTTTCAATAAATCACTTTCCATGATGTATCTGCAAACTCCTGCTTTCATATTACACTGATACTATGCAAGCGTATACCCATAGCAGATATGGGGTTATCATTTCTTTTTCATCCCATAAAATATTACATATATAGAGAGTCCATTAACCAGATTAATTGTTGTTGCAAGGCATTCAAATAAGGGGATGTTTAAGTATTACATAACACATATTTTGAAGATTTTTGATCTTCCTTTCTGACTGAGGTTCAGATAATTGAGACTTTACTGCAGAGTTTATGAATACATAACATTTTATTTTAATACTTCTATAGCATTTCTGTTATTTAACAAAATAATCATAATGTGTAATTGAATTCCAGGTTTTGTATTAAATGGCAATGTTGACACAAGTGTGCATACATTGATGCGTCAGATCATAGCAATGGAGGTAGCCAGCGATGTGGAGACGTACAGTGAGGCGATGCTTGGCCGGCCAAACGCTGAATACTGTGTCTGGATACAACAGCCCAGTTCCTGGGGTGGTGCTATAGAAGTATGTTGTAAATTATTATACAGTAGCTTTTTTAATGATGACAGTGTTCCCGGCATAGAATAGGCCACTCCTTCTTTTCTTGTGATTTAATGATCAAGGGATGGGCAACAGTCTTCCTGTTAAAATATCACCAAAGTGTAACTGCAGTTGCCAACCCCCCTGCCAAGTGTGGCAACTACTGGCAAAACTTTCATTATGTGGAAGATCTATGTTCAGCAGTGGACAGTTAATGACTGATATAATAATAAAAAAAAAAATGGAATGATAGCATATACTGTAGTGCAGGCTGCATAAAACTCCATTGTCGGGGGGAAAGGGATTGTTAGTAATGAAGACTGAGAATCCCATTGCTAGCAATATACCCAACCAGGTCAACCTCCTCGCGGTTCCCCTTGGAAACTATCATGATTAATTCCAGATGAATTCATCATGAGGGGCTAACTGGCCTGTTTTCATTCTCATCAATCACCCTTCACTGGTGTCCCGTCAGCGTACCCGTTAGCGCAGGCGGGGTTACCATTCTATTTTCATCCAACATACAAAAAAAACATCCATTGTCACTTACTAAAAAAATAGTACACTATTTTAGACTTTTCCACAATTGGTGCTAAAACGTAACAAACAAATAAACTCACTGTTACATTTATGATACTAGCTCTATCCCGTGGCTTCATTTGGCTGAATAAGTTAATAAAATGTCTTACATTCTATGTTACAACATAAGCTATCCATTTACCAAATTTTATTCAAAACTGTTCAGTAGTTTTTACGTAAAAGAGCAAAAAAATTACACTAAGAAAACAATGGGCGATCTTATCGTTAAAAGTGATCTCATCCAGACAACCTTTAGATGGAGTTAGACCAGTTATGAACAGTTTGATAGGAGGTAAAATGACAATTCTGTTATTTTTAAAAACATATAGAAATGTAGCAAGTAGCTATGTACAGTGACCATCTGTCTTATAGACAGACAAAACTTCTTAAAATTATTGTTTTGCCTTCTGGCATTTGGTTTTATTAAGAACCCCTACACACATATATATATATTTTTAAAAATCTCTCAGGTATAGGTTCGTTTAGTTACAATAAACATCAATAAGAAATTTTCTGCTATAGGACCACAAAAAAAAAAAAAAAAAATAATTGTAATTTACAAATTAACATTTCAGGTAGCGATTCTGTCCCGTTTCTACGGTCTGGAGATGGCTGTGGTAGACACTTTAAATGCTATAATCAACAGATTTGGTGAAGACAAAAACTATGGGCAGAGGGTGTTCCTTTTATTCGACGGAGTGCATTACGATCCATTGTATTTAGAACAATCTGATGTAAGTCGCAATATCCGTTCCTTATCTTATATTCTTGTTTACAACAATAATAATAAATGTCAAATATTATACAAGATTAGTACATTGTATGAGGATCTTTGACCTCTACAATCTAGAAGCATCCTTTTACTTATTTCAAGATATAGTAATTGGTTATGTGGTCTCGGCATTGAATAGGCCACCCCTTCGTCGTAATGTCGTATAGGTAGCAGCACCTCTCTTAAAACAAATTAAATTTTCAAACTGACTGCGTTTGCCAATCAGTCTGCCAAGTGTGGCAACTACTGGTAAAGCCTCCCAAAGAGGAAATATTTTAACAGTTAAAGGCTGCTATAATGATGATGATGATGATGATGAAAATATAATTATTATATGAATTTTCTATACTTGTATAATGGGAATTTAACTAACTTAAGCACCTTACGCTCCTTGAAAAAGACTTCTAGATGAAGTCAAAACAATTGTCGGAAAAGACAAACACAGTAAGTTCGTTAAATTCCTACTGTGTATGTGTATAGACATCATATTAAAAAATTATTCCGTGTGGTCCCGGCGTAGAATAGGCCACCCATTTCTTTCCTGTAGGTGTCGTAAGAGGTGACTAAAGGAACTTAATTGTAGATGGATGGGCAGCAGTGTCCCTCTTAAAACATCTTTACAAGCCTAACTGCGGCCAACCGTCTGCCAAGCGTGGCAACTACTGGCAAAACTCCCCATATTGGGGAAGGCTTATGTTCAGCAGTGGACAGCTAACGGCTAAAATGATTAAAAATGAAAATAAGTTTCAAAAATAATTATGATCGTGTTTTACAAAAAAAAAAAAAAAACTACATCAAGTGTGGTAAAACCAGCTATTTTGATTTAAAAACTAAATTACTGAGCCGATTTTGATAAAATTTCTATATAGTTTAGAATATCGGAAATATTGCATAACATGCACATAATGATTAATTTCTATGACCAATCTTTAGGTATACCTTTTTTGTCTGAAAGCATATATCCTTTCAGGTAAAAAAAGATTTTCCCAAATAATTTTAAAACTCACGATGTTATGAGGTAACAAACATATAAAAAAATACAACCGAATCGAGAACTTCCCTTTTTTTAATTCAGTTGAGAAAGGTGAATTAAGAATCTCCTATTTTTGTAAATTACTAAGTCCCTTGTAAATAATACAAAAGGATAAAGGAATCAAATATAAAATTATATATTCAATTTTTTTTTTACTGGGTATTATTTAGTTTATCTTTAACTGTACGGTTATTACCCTTATACATTCTACAGTTTTCTTTCAGCTTCTCAAACGTTGACTGTAAGAGATCCCTTTATGGGATAAGTCCGCCATTGTATATTAAATCATTTACCAGTGTTTAATCTGAGTTATGTACAATAAAAATTTTACAATACAATACAATACTCATTGCAGGGCGGCATCCAAACGGTGTTTCCAGCAGAAGATATGGACATATATAGGGAAGCGGAACAACTGGCCCACGAAGCGAAATCGTCCCGCCAATTCACAGATCTAAACAAATTCACACTCAAATGCGTTGTGTGCAACAAATTACTAACAGGACAGGCCGAGGCTCAGAAGCATGCGAAAGAAACAATGCACACGAACTTTGGTGAAGTCTAGCACACAATAGGACTGTATATTTAATTTAATTAATCAACCTTATTATGTTGTACGCTATGCGATATTTCTTAGCTCTCTCAACTCTGTGAGTTACTCCAATATATTATAATATAATAATATCATCATCTTCATCATCTTCCTACCCTTATCCTAATCATTTGGGGTCGGCGTAATATGATATTATCCATATTACAAAAAGATTTGGTTATTAATTTTACGACCGGCCACCTGCCTGACGTCAACCCTCTTTGGGAGTTATATAATAATATATTTGATCTATTTTAGTATTGTAGTACCGTCAGCAAAAACATCACAAACTGATTAATACACTAAATCGATGTTCTAATACATTTAGTGCCTGAATTATGTAGTATATGCACTTATATATATATGCTTGGCATATTTAGTAAATAGTATAGATATATTTTTTATTGAAATTGCTCATCTTTTCTTACCAATATAAAAAATTAAATAACTAGAAGATGGCTGTAGATGTGAGATATAAGAGAAGAAAAAAGAAAATGAAGTGTCTTAAGACTAATAGAGGTTAAAATAATATTTTTTTAAGAAATTTGTCTATCTGTGTTAATCTGTGTTTGTTCGGATACCATATAAAAGCTTTTTCGTCAAATTGGATCCGGTTTTCACAGTTATGTTTATAAAGGTGTAATTTAGAATATGGTATATTTTTTATTTCGGTACGCCATTTAAAAAAGTTCTATATGAATTATTTATTAGCTTTTAAATCCATGCATACGAAATGGCTGGCAAAAAGCTAATTTAAAAATAAGATTATAAAAATTCTAGTTAGACAATAATACAGTATCGATTAACGCCTTTTCTCAACGTTTTTTTTATTTGCTGATGGTTCTACCACGTCAATTCTGTATATTTATTATATAGTAAAATGAATTTGGTGGTGAAATATCGCATTGGGTACAAATATTATTTTTATTATGTAATCTTTGATTACTATATAAATGTTACTTGCTATTAATAGGCAGAGTATTTATTTATTTCTCTCTTTCACAGTGTAAAGAATCTCAAAGTGTATTTCGACCTTAATAATTATAAATTGACAATATAAAAGAGAAAGAGACATACAAGAGCGAGAAAGCAATGTGCGAGCATTCCCTGTACATTATAATAACCTGTAGTGGTTTAATTAATTGTTTTTGCGTTTTTAATTTTTATTTGATTTAAGTGTATATAGAATGCAGTAATCGGATGTAGCATGAATTAGAAATGAAGCCCATGAAATTGCATATTTTATGTTAAAACTCTATGAATTAAATCCTTATGTCCTAAGAAATTAAATGCACTTACACGTGCAGTGCAAAGAAATTTTGTCCTGCTAACGCTCAGGCTATGGAATGAGCTTAAGAGATTACAGTATGGGGTTCTTCAAAATGGATGTATTGAGGTTTCTTCAGGGTCGGCAACGGGCACGTGACACCCCTAGTGTTGCAGGCGTCCATAGATTACAGTGACCGTTTACCATCAGACGGGCTGTATGCTTGTTTACCACCTTTGTGGTATAAAAAAGTAAGTTCTCTAACCTAATATTTGTCGTATATCTTCGTTGGATACTTCTGATAGCCTAAGATCCCACCTTTAAAATCTGCAGGTATAATATGGTTCCCAGGTGAAATTAGGTAAATATTTTGGTAAAATCGTTTAACTTGTCATGCCTTTTGATGAGATTTACACCAAACGAAAGATTATTCTTTTCTATATATGGAAAAAAATACGGTAACATATGGTTTCCCATGAAAAAGGTCGCAAGTAAGGGTTGTTGGCATCTAAAATTTTGTTTTAGATGATGGTGCTATAGTTATAGAAAATTGGTTCCCTTTAATAAAACCCATGCTAAATTTCTGTTTAGTATAATTCTGTGATACTATTTTTCTATACGACAATATAGTTTGCCTATAAAACATTGGCCGCAAATAAGTGTTACCACTTGGCGACTGTTACTTCTTAGAACTTCTGTCTTATCTTCTTACAGACAACCTAAATGTTTCTTTGAAAAGTCTTATACCTGCAGAATTTAGCAGCGGAATCTCGGGCTATGAATGTTTAATGCGTAAATTGAGATTTACACGATCACCTATGAGCCGAAGTTCGGCAATCAAAATCGGAATGTTCCAAAAAATCGATTATTCGTTTGAAAATTTACTAAGCTGTAGTGATTGCGATGATTATTTTTGCAATTGGCTGTCCATAGTTTTTGGCAGCATCAACGATTTATAAATGTAAAATTGGTGGTATCTGTCTTCACGCCATATCCTTTATGGGATAGGCAGTATCCAGTGCCAAAGGTATACTTATTTGCGATAATACGATTCATTCTTTGTTAATGTAAAAATTACTTAAGTAATTGTTATAATTCTAATGTATTTTATTAATTCGATTTATCACTTTAGGTGTTTAATGTAAGATATAAATTATTTGGAACATAATGTACGTTCATGTGTATTTAAAAAAAAAATGAATCTAAATTGATTCTTTGGGCACAAAATATATTATAAAAATTGTCACCCTATTTTTTGCTATTACTAAATGTATAGATAATGTCCCAAATAACTTAATCTTATGATATTCCAATAAGGAAATTTATTTAAATCAATGCGAAAGTGGCGCCACCAACTACTTAAATAACGGCAAATATGTAGTCTGTAGAACTCTACTGATAAAAAGAGTGACTTTAAAAATGAATTTATAACGGAGGGAAAGTATTGTTTTTAACAATTTATTTTCCCGTAAATTACCATGGAGCAGGATGAAATTTTATAACACAGTGGCGCCCCTGTCGCAATAAATTGGTAGTAAGACTTCTTTATATAAGTACTCATAAGCTCTGCCTATTTCAAGTTATTGTAACAAGTTCCAAATATTTGTTTTCGATCCGTTCACATAGACATTTTTTAACGGTGTATATTTTGTTTTGATAGTAATAAATATTATTTATTATTTCACATGTGTATCATTTCTAACATATTTAAGTTAAATTCGCTTTACATAATTTTTAATGATTTATAAGCCAAAAGGACTCCGGACTTGTATCACATTCACAATTCTATTGCCAAGGAATTGGTGCTTGGTTGGTTGTTTTTTTGTTTGAATGATGAGATATGATGATAAAATTACAGGGTACTAAAGTATAGCACTGAGTACCACAGACGTCACAGTCTATTCTATTATACCCATATCTATAGCCAAAAGCTTGCACGTAGCTGTTAGCTCGTTTGTTTATTCCAATTTATTATGAAAGTACTTTGAAGAAGAAAGTACCTTATATTTACCTCTAGACTAGGCATATTTGTCGATAACTATACGAGATTTAAATGACTAATTATATCGATATTTTACGTGTGAGAAAAGAATGGCGAATATAGAAAGAGCTAGAAAAGTAGACCTTAATAACAATTCCAGAACAAATTATTATCCTGTCCGGTTGAAGTATGTCTACAAAGCATTAGCCTTTGTTTATTATTGTCACTACTATTTTGCATTGGCTTTAATAGTAGTCAACTCTAAGACCAGGGGGGAGAAGGGTTTATTAGGAATGCAAACTGTCAGTCACATTGCTAGCAATATACGCTGTCAAGTCGCCCTCCATATGGTCCTCCCTGGAAACTATCGCGCTGAATTCCTGGTGTATTCATTACGCTCGCCTATCATCATTCACTGGTGTCGCGCCAGCGTATACCGTTAGCGCAGGTGAAGAAACCATTTCACTATCATCCATTAAAAAATTCATGACCAAAGACACTACTAATCCGCGTAGGTGACTGATTTTCATGTCACAAAGATTCTCAACAAAGGAGTGACGTCTCTAGTTTTACATTTGTTTATTAGCTATGATAGCTAACTTCAAGCCAGTGGTGTTTGTTTAAAAAAGTTTAATAATACAACAAAAGGTAAACTTTATTCGATTTATTTTTAACACAAAAATGTACAATATCAATAAATATAATAGTCACATCGGCTCTATCACTTGTCATTACACCTAGTATTCATACAATGTTGTCATACAACACGATTGCTTATTTAACATAATACAATATAGACAAGTTATATTTAACATTAGAAATTGTGCATTTGTGTAGTGGGCGATCCACGGTATGTATACATTGCTTACTTTATTAAACTCTTCATTATTATTATATAATCAACAATATTTGAATGTAGACGCCGCAATCGAAATAATAATTTTGTATTATAATTTGTCATTATAAATAATCAAATTTATAAAGCACATACGAATTATAAATGTTTAATATTAAATTTGTCTTTATAAGTAGGTTTTGTACTGAAATAAAGGTAGGTTAGGTACGATTGTAAATACTTTGAAATAATTTAAGTTTAGTTTTTTTCATTTTAAAGATTGATATACGTATTTAAAAGTGAAAATACGTACTAAAATGAGTGATGGAGATTTAATATCTTTTATGAAATATCTATTTAATGCTGGACAATTTTTTTTTTACTATTTAATCGCAAAATAACTTCTAATGTGTATTTTATGCCTTACCCGCATAAAGCTTAATTTATTCTGAATAATAAATGAACCTTAGCCAATTTAGTTAAAGTCGAATTTTCATCAGTCTAACTTAAATAACAAAAACTAGTCCCGACTACATTCGTTACAAGGAATGAATTTGATCCCGAAAAAAAGAAATATAGTAAAAGTGGCAGTTTTTTCATTCTAGAATCGGTAACGCCTTAGCGATGCAAAATGAACCTTATCTTCACTCCCAATTGGAATGTTTTTTGTGTTCATTAGAAAAACAGCACAATCGTCGCCGTGTTAACTTGCAAAAAATGATATATAATGCCATAAGCTGAAGCATTAGCGATTATAGAAAACAAACGAAGTGAAAATGAAATAAATATAAGTCTAAAATATAAGTCTAAGTATCAAGACTGGTTTTGTATTGCCACCGTCTGAAATGTCATTTTTCAATAATAATCTTCAACATTTCTATTAATTACCATACTTAAATTTTGATAGTAAAAATATTTGAAATATTTTAAAAGGCAAATGGAGTAGTAAATACATATTTAGTGGCAGATTTATGTGAATAATGTTCTATGGTTAACCATTTAACGTTTACTTATTTAGAAATATTGTTAATAATTTATTTTTGAAAACTGACATATAATACAGAAATTACCACTTTTCGGTATGAATGACTTTAAAGGCAAAGCATGAAATTGGCATATATTAAGCGAACTCACGACAATTTAGTATACATTGAAACAATAACTATAGTATTGATATATCGTAGGATCAATCTTGTTTTAACAACCAATATTGGCTTTTAGCCAAGACATATTTACATAATGGGTTAATGAATTCTATGTGCATTTTATATGAATTGTAAACATGATAATATACCGAGCAAAATGCTAATCGCGAAAAATATATATTTTATTAATAGTAAGTAGTAGGTAGGTTTTTTTTTTATTGAAAATTCGTAAGTAACATGCCTGTATTAGCCTTTGTGATAGGAGAGTGCATTTATTAATTTTTTTAATAAGTGAATTATTTCTTTGAAATACCTACTTGGCGAAGTTGAAATTATTAGCATTGGAGGATTACATGCTCACAGCGATTTGAGAGTGACTATTGTTCTATTGTAGGTATGTATATAAATATAATTAATGTTTTTGTTACTAAAATAACAACAAATTTTTGGAAACAATTAGTATGGGAATAGATTTTTTTTTATGCAACTTAGAATTATAAACAAGCTGATGGTTCACCTAAAGTGCCAACCGTCGCCTATAGATACATAAACAGTACCATATACATAACAGAATATATGTGTAACATATCATTATGAAGAGAATTTACGTTTTATAATAAGTTTAACTTACAGCTTAAGTTTTTTTTTTTTTTTTAATTATGCTTTTAATAAAATCCAATAAGAATTTATTACACTATTATGATGACAAACAAGCATATGGCCCGTCTGATGATAAACGTGGTTACCGTGCTCTGTGGACACCCGTAGCATCAGGGATGTCATGTGCAAGTTGTTGACCATTGGCCACACATAAAAAAAAAACTTTTTTTTCTGTAATATATGTATGACAATGCAGACAGATCGGAATAACAACAAACAATTTTGAAGTTACTATATCAAGGAAATATATATATTAATAATGCCAACGATTTCGACTTAGCCAAGTAGTAATAACTACATTTCTCTGTCTACCCTGCAATACCACTATTGGTAGACACAATTTGTTCAAATATATTCATATAACTCACTGTGATATGAATAGATATATTTTTGTTCAATTTACATATAATTATATACATAAACATTATATTAGTATAAATATGTAGGAAATATAATTGTTAGTCACTTTACATGTATTTTGTACATAAAATTTATGCACATTTTTTTTTGTACTCGTATTTACAAGCACAAAAGAAAGACAATTGATTTTTACAATTTACAACACGATTTTGACATAAATATTTTTATAACTACATTAGTTAATTAGTTTTAAAATCTCAAGATATAGGAATATTTTGCAGAAACATCACTAGCTAGTCTATAACGTTAATATGCACCTTTGGAGCGATTTTACAATTTACCTTGGTACGACACGATATGATACCGTACGATTATACCGTCACGATATAATAGGGCAACAAAACATGTATATAATTACATAGAGTCGCTATTAATTTTCTGTATGAGCACGCCAATTTATGAATCCACTCAATTGCATACATTCTAGCTCTACTTACAATATTGACATTCGTGACGTTAAAGTCGTACGCAATCGTGACGTGCTACGGTAAATTACAATAAACGCGCCATTAGAATGAAAAATTACTAATGGCCTATACATGTAATGTTACAGCTTAAATACCTACATGGAACGTTAGCAATATATGTCAAAATACAGCAGTGCGGGAGCTCGTGTGATGTAACATGTTACGTAATATTACATGAGGTCATATAACATGTAAAGTTACATGTTACGAGACCTCATATAATTTTTAGTCAATACAGCTTAATATTCAAGCGGCAGCTCCAATTAAAGATTAATAAAATACAATGAAAACACCTACCTTTATACAATTATATTTTCAAAATTTTCTTTACAATATTTTATATAATTTACAATTTCAAAAAAAGCATAATACAAAGATATTGCTAATATTACAATAAAAACTTTCCCCTTATAAACACTAATATATTTTTTGGTCACTAAATAACGTGTAAAGCAAGCTTTTTGCATGGATTTAATATTAAATGTCAAATTGTTTATTGATTGGTAAATTTTAAATTTTCACGTTTTTACACGTTTTATCGCGTCGGGTTAATTTCAAAAAAATATATTTATATATTTATCGATTTCTGAGTAATGCCGGAATATGCTGTTCCATATTGACAGTACCTTCTTTCGTTCATAGATTTTTTATTACAATTGTTTAGACAAGATTTAAAATAAATTTCAAAATGACTGCTATTGGAATTAAGATTAAAAATGGTCGAAGAAATTAACTTAAAATTAAATAAAACAATATTAAATACACAACAAATATTGCAAATCGAAATACTAATGGACTGGTCACCCCGTAACATATTGCTAGGAATAGTAAGTCATAATTGTAATAGTTAAGTCTGTAATAAATAATGATAGGAATACACGATAAAATCGAAATTGTCAAAGTCCTTTTAAAAGTATTCTATTGGTGAAAAGTATTTTATCTTTTACCAAAGAATTAAACAGTTAAAACGAGAACAGTGACCCCCTTAATAATAGAACCTTTTATAAACCTGTTTTGTCTATTTATTTATATAATAATATAATCCAGCACTCATGCACTTTACCTGCTTTCTCAATGTAATGAGTTGGCTGGAAGAGAACTCTTTCAGAGATAAGTCCATCCTTTCTCACAATCTTTATATCTACGTAATTTACAAGTGCAATAAAGAATATATATTTTTTTTTAATTTGAAAGAAAGTGACAAAACAATAACTAAAATAGATTTTTAGTAGTTTTTATGAATAAGAGGATTAATCTCCCATATTGATTCGACAACAAGACAGGTCCGTGCGTGACTACTTCGGTTCTAGTTCTAATTTACTTAAAAGGACTTATAATTTCGATTTAACCCGTATACAGGGTTACCCGTGATGTGTATACTAAGACAAAAACCAGAGTTAACACTCATAAAAATGGACAATTTGGTCTGAGAAGCATAGTTGAAATTTTAAAGTATTTTATACAATTTTCATATTAATAGAATACGTAATAAAACCGTTTGTATAAAAGCCCATTATTTCTGAATTTTCTACTATTGTAAAGTAATCGCGTTTCATGAATAGTATCATAGTATCGGCTTAGTATAAGTTACGGGTAACCCTGTATAAAAACCGTACTAGTCTACAAAAACACATAGTAAATCTAGTTATTGGAAAATCATATTTATACTAATAGGTGATACAACTGAATAAATAGCTAATGTAATACACACAACCATAGATCTGTTGCTTTTGATTACAGTCTACAAGACTCCTAAATTATTCTTTCCTTCTCTTCATCAGCCATAGTTTAATAAATAAGTACTATACTTCGTTGAATTTATTTCAGGGTTGGCAACGCGCGTATAGTATTGCGGATAGGGTTTCGTCAGATATAAATAAAACAGTAGTTCTTGAAGGGTCTTCAAATGTTTTATACCGCAAAAGTCGGCCACCCGTCTGATGCTAAAGGCGCGTTGTTTCGTAACTGTTACTCCAGTCCATCGTACAATGACTATATAGTCTAATGTAATGGAAGACTCTGAATTAATTAAAGTTGTACTAAGAATAATATATATAATTACAATACACATAATGACTAACAATAGTTATTATTTAGCTATACTCCGCTTAGACAATTGTAGATCAATAACATCTAGATAGAGCGTCTCGTGAAAAACGCTTAGACAAAAAGCGCCTAACTTTTAATTAAAAGTTGCGAGCTTTTTAACTAATGTTTGAAAGATTGCATTAATCTTATGGTCCAAAAAGAAATATTATATGTATATTCTGAATTGTGGACTCTTATTATACAAACTGTGATTTTATTTACTAATATTTATAATTACACAGGGTCAAATCGAAATTATTAGCATTTATTTATTTATTATATTTTCTCATACCATAAATAATTTTCTCAAAAAAATATATCATATGGATGAAAAAACTACAAAAAAAATTTTAAAGCCCCCTTCTTATTATGGGAGGTAATTACTTTGTCGCTTTTACATCTATATTGGAAAAAAAAACCGTTTCACTGGTAGAGCACTATCTTCAAAGAATGCTAATGATTGCAACATCGCTATGTTACATCATATTAAGTCTTAAAATTTTAGGTGAACATTCGGTATGAAAAACGCCGCGTCAACCTACGGTTGACTGACCGTTTATTTTTGGAATGTGTTTCGACACGATGCTCCATCTAGATGTATTATGATCCAGTTCACTTTTCAATTTTAGTTTTTTATCATGATTCAAGTGGTATTACGAAAGAGCAATATTTTATGAATTCAGGAGTCTTGATAATTACTTTTAAATCAGTCTATTAATAATTTTAAAGTAGGTACAATGTTTAAGGGCCAGCGTACAATATTCAATTATAGAATGTCAATAAGTTAGTATTTATACATACAGGGTTAGATGTAAAAGGTATACCAAGGCTAAAGCCCGTGATAGTATTCATTTCAAAAAATTCAACTTTCCCATGTAATTTTTGGAATTTTCATACAAGTCACTTTGTTGCATAATCGGTTTAGTATGAGAGGTCAAAAATATGAAATACTATTTTCACACTATTATTTTTGAGGAGAACGTTCAGTTTCATTAACACTAGCTGGGTTTCGGTTGCTTAGTATATCCTTTATGACAACCCTGTATAAGTTAGGTGTGATCGTTCAACATTTAAGGTCATCAGCAGAGAGGATCCTACGACTTTGGTCTCTTCAAGTCTAAGTTCTAAGTCATACGCATTTCAAGTTTTAGTCTTTCAAGTCCATTCCTAAACCTACGAACCTACCCAATTTCACTATAGTAACAAACCACACAAAGAATCACTCATACATTAATACTGTAACGGAACACATAATTCGTTACAATACATATCACATACACCTTTGTCCATTTTCACATATGGTTTTAAACAGTGTTGCCTAATAAATCGATAGTTACAGTTTGCCCTATCGATTGTATCGGTATAAATTATATCGATACTGTGTATTTAATCGTAACAATAATAATTATATTATTAAAAAAAATTTAATTTCAAAATAATTAAATGGAATATAATTCAATCATCAACATTTTTTGTCTTATCAATATAAAGTTTTAAACAATTTAACTGAATACAATCGAATAATCGTTTATTTTCGATACAGAACCATCGTTTGTACCGATTATATCGATAATTGCTTCAAAATAATATTGGAAAATATAAACAATAAAATAAAATCAATAGTACTATCGTGTACTTTTATTGATACTTATATATTAATAAATGTTGGTACTGTTACCGATTAATCGACAATTTAATTCATTTGTTGCTTCAATCCAAGCGATAGTTCGACTAACCCTCTGTACGGGCATCCTGCGATTTCCGCGTGTAGCATTTACTAGTTTAATTTTAGACATTCCGCGATTTCGACATGCTCGCTTTTTTATGTTTATTGACGACTCGCGATTTTTTTTTTTTTGTAGATTGATATTATTTATCAAAATCTCGCTAGATGGCTATAATACTATTGGTTGTTAAAGCGATGTAATTTTATTGTTGTGAAAAAAAAAACGCAGTCAGAAGGCTTAATCGATATTCACCGATTATGAGGCAACACAAGTTTGATACTTGAATCGTACCATCGTAAAGGTATCGAATTGCAGTTAAACAACTAAGCGGCAGTGTATAAAAATATCACTTATAAACTACACGTCATTGTTAATCCAATGATCCACAATTTCTGTTGTATCAGAAATAAATCGCTCAAAGCACTCCGAATTTAGAATGTCGCAAGAGTTTTATTGCTCAGATAATTAGTAATAATTATAAAATTATAATAAAAGAGGATATAAAAAAAAATATTTCAATAATTCTGGGAATTGTTCAAAACGATTAAGACACCATTTGGAGACACATGGCTTGTACTTACTTGCATGATTCTCTAGTAATTTATTTGACATATTTAACAAAGTTGTTTAATAAAAAAAAATGCTAAATTGGTTTACTAAATAGATTTTTATAACTCAAAATAAACTATATTGATAGTTTGTTATTTTTACTAGTTTTGTTATTTATTCAGATATGAGTTTTTATAATAAAAGTGTCAATTTATTAAATATGCCAAAAAACTAGAGTATAGTGTAATTTCTTAGATATTTTTATTTTTTTATTGAACAATCAAAATTACCTCCTTTTAATATTTCTGTAGAAATTAGTCTAATAATATTATTCATAAAAAGGCAAACGTCCAATAAACTTCTTTACTATACAAATGTTCCGTCTCTTTCTTTTAAGTCTAATACTTCATTTGCAAGAAAGAGACAAAACACAAAAATCATTAGAAGTTTATTAATTTTTATGAATAATAAGTTACTGCGATCTCGCCGTTGAAAATCTTGGTAGAGAGATGCCAAATTTGGTTTCCAAACCGGTGAGGACTGGCATGGCCACTTCGTACCCGCCTATGTGGTCTGGTTTCTTCTTCGTTTCTTCGATAGAGGTCGCCACGTGCAACTCTGAGCCCGTGGGCCGGCTGTAATCAAACATTTAAATTGTATTGCAACTTTTTATACAAGGTGCGTTTTTTATAAGTTCCTATATGTCGAATAATGTATAAAAACATTACTCACGATCCACCAAAGTCGACGTAGAACAAACGCTGTAAAATTTCATACGTGACCAACGTTACGCCGAACTGAGGCGAGGAGCGGAACACGCGCGCTGCAAAGTAATAACAATAATAAAGTAAAAATATAATCATTAAAAGTAGTTGTTATTTTAACTATTCTGTTTTGTCTCTTTATGTCAAAGTGAGAATTAGCGCAAAGGAATGAGACAAAATACATCAATATTTTTATTACAGTAATTAAATAAAGAAAAAAATACAACGTACGAGTAACAGAGGGTTTACCAGAGGGAGACTTTGTATAAAAGTCGATTGCTTGGGCACCTCTGTCCCATTCGTGTTTCAACCGTGAAGCAGTTGTGTTTGCATGGCTGTGTTTCGGTTTGAAGGGTGGGATATGGCGTGAATTTACTGGGTACAGAGGAATAACACCTGAGTCCTCAGGAATGGCAACGCATGGGGGTATCATGGGCGAAACAGTATACTCTGTTATGTCCATGGTACTGCTCATGTCTATAGGCGACGGTTACCACTTTCCATCAGGTGGGCCGTCAGCTCGTTTGCCATTCTAAGTTGTATAAAAAAAAAAATAACAACCAACCTTCGGTATAAAGTGACCGAAAGTAGCAAATTGTATGCAATTTGAAAAACTGTCTAATCCAAATGCTCACCTAACGCGCCCTTCCAGAAGGCTCTGGCGCCTTCTTCCGCGTAAATTTTCCTAGCAGCGTCGAATACGCCATTGTAGGTCGTTTGACCTGACCGCGCTACCACCTGAAATTAATAATAATATTTCTTTATTTATAGATTACAAAGATCCATTTTTGTTAGTAACAATTGACTTAAACTATGTTAGTTGAATGAAATTAATATGATTAAATGAAAACAGTATAGTAATTTATGTATTTATACAGTTCACATCACATTAGCACTTTACTATCTACTGCTGGACATACGCCGCTCCATAGACTCTATAGAGGGTTTTGCCAGTAGTTGCCACGCTCGGCAGGCGGATTGGCAAAAGCTTAGGTTTTTGTGATGTTTAAAGAGGGACGTCCCTGCCTGTTTCTTGACCATTAAGTTAACTTAATCGCCTCTTATGACAACCACGGCAAAGAATAGGTCCTATCTATGCCGGGATCCCATGGTAAACAGTTTACATCATTAATATTTACTGATTCTTTCTCATTTACTCTTTTTTTTTAATATTTTCATTTAATTGATTGTCAATTCCTAAAATAATACATGTCTAGACTGTATTAACTGTTTCTCGTATCGAGTTGCACAATTATGGAACAGACTCCCTTCCCACATACAAGAGAGCCCTTCAATTACCTCTTTCAAGAAAAGGTTGAAGTTACATTTTCTTTTGTTTGAGTCATAATCTTAATATTTCTTTTTTCTAATTGAACTGTCAAACCTTAAAATCATTTAACTAAATTTCTATTGTTGGTAGTATATTCATTTATTTTAACATCCATTGTATAAGTAGGTAGGTATTATATTTATTTATAGTATATGTATTTATGTAATATTTTATTATGTATCTTAATATTTTATTTAACTGTGTATTTGTTTATATACTCTAAATATTAATAGTTGTAGTACTTCAGCTGCCCGCTAACAACATGTTTTCTAACTGCATTGGGTTGACTGGAAGAGATCTCTGTCAGAGATAAGTCCACCCTTGCTCACAATATTTATAAATGCATTAACAATGTAATTTACAAGTGCAATAAAGAATATATAAAATAATAAATACCTGTAGTCGCGTCTTGATGACGTCAGCGGGGGTGACGAGCGACGCGGCGGGGATACCGGCGATGGCACCGGCCGCTAATAACGTCAGTGGATGGTTGTAACCATTTTCGTCTGCAAACTTTGCCTGGTGGCAGAAATACAACATGTCATACTGTACTTTACACAATTTTTTTTTTAATGGATGACAATGGAGTTGTATCACCGCCTGTGCTAACGGTATACGCTGATAGGGCACCAGTGAGGGATGATAGGTGAGAATGAAAAGGCAGGCCAGTTAGTCCATCATGATGAATACATCTGGAGGAGAGGGGGGATTGTTAATAATGCGGACTACCAGTCCCATTGTTAGCAATAACCAATCAGGTCGACCTCCACGTGGTCCTCTCTGGAAACCATCGTACTGAGTTCCATGTGACTTCATCACGATGGGCTAACTGACCTGCTTTTTCATTCTCACGTATCATCTCTCACTGGTGTCCCGCCAGTGTATACCGTTAACACAGGCGGGGTTACCATTCCATTATCATCCATTAAAAAAAATACATCTGGAATTCAGCACGATGGTTTCCAGAGGGGGACCACGTAGAAGTCGAGCTGACAGGATCTATTGCTAGCACCGTGACTGATAGTTCGTATTACTAACAATCCCTTCCCCCCACTTTACAACACCCACGGTAAAGTGAAAAGTGATAAATAAAAAAGGTAATAAATTTACCTTAACATGAGCATAAGCCGGGAAGTATATGGCACTGAAGGGGACGTCTCTCAGGAGGCAGGCCTTCGCGCCCTTGTACAGTCCGAAGAGGCCGAGGTCCTTGACGACGTTCCACGCGCGGACCTTGCTGCCGCTCGCGATCTCGCCAGCCACTTGGAGACGGATCTTCACTATCTCCAGGGGATTCGTGAATACTACTTGGGAAGCACCCGCCTGGCACAAAATGGGCAATTTAATAGACAATTATTTTTCTACGCCCATCATTCACATGTATGATAATTTTGCATAGTATTTACTCTGGTAAATCTTAATGATAAAGGGAAATTCAAAACCGTCTGCTTGGGTACTTCTGTCCCATTTGTATTTCTGCCGTGAAGCGGTTATGTTTACAAGGCTGTGTTTTGGCTTGAAGGGTGGCAATGGCAATGAAATTAAATTCTATAGTGATCGGTTAAGCCGTTATTGCGTTATAAGGTAACAAACAGACAAACAAACAAATTCTCACATTGATAATATTAATATTGTAATGAACGATACTCACACACCCGCCAGCAAGTATTTCGGCGTACAACGGAATATTCCCCTTCTGGTCCATCAATTTGTCACGGACAAAGTCATTGACCTGTAAAAAATATTATTAAATTATATAAAATATTTTAAACCATTCTATAGCCTTAATATATTTTTTTTAATCAAGAAGTCTTATGGAAGAGAGATTTTTTTTTTGTAAAATAATTGTTGACATTTCTTCAAATTTATCACCTTTATTTTGAAATATACAAAAATAATTTTTACATCAATACATTGAGAATTGTACAACTGATATTGAAACCTAGTACATCACTTTAAGGTTTCTTCTTATTTGGATTAAATTCAGAATTAGTTATTGTTTTCTATACACATTTTGTTTATGTTAGTGTGAATTTACAGGGTACAGAGGATTAACACCTGAGTCCTCAGGAATGGCAACGCATGGGGGTATCATGGGCGTAACAGTATACTCTGTTATGTCCATGATACTGCTCATGTCTATAGGCGACGGTTACCATCATCAGGTGGGCCGTCAGCTTGTTTACCATTCTAAGTTGTAGGGTGGGATATGGTAGTGAAATTAGAGGGTGGGTCGTCAGCCATACTCAAAATTCCCATACCCATATATTTCATACCCATTTGCCATTGCTTACGTACCAGATAGCCAGTAGCCGGTGCAGACGTAGTAGATGCACCGGCGGTATGGAGAAGCTTTTCTGTTACTTTTGTACCCAAGCTATGCGTACACTTGTCTCTGTACATTTTTTTTACGCAACATAGAATAGCAAATAAGCCGACGGCCCACCAGATGGAAAGTGGTAATTGTCGCCCATAGACATGAGCAGTACCATGGACATAATAGAATATACTGTTTTGCCAATGATACCCCCCATGCGTTGCCATTCCTGAGGACTCGGGTGTTATTTCTCTGTACCCTGTAAATTCACTGCCATATCCCACCCTTCAAACCGAAATACAGCCATGCAAACAACTGCTGCACGGTAGAAACACAAATAGGACAGAGGTACCCAAGCAATCGACTTTTGTACAAAGTCTTCGCCGTCTTTTATATTACGAAATCAATCACCAAGTGCCATCTTTCACTTGTACCACCTCCAACCCTAAACAGTAGGGGGGAAAGGGATTGTTAGTAATGGAGACTGAGAACCCCATTGCTAGCAATATACCCAACCAGGTCGACCTCCTCGCGGTACCCCCTGGAAACTATCATGGTTAATTCCTGATGAATTCATCATGATAGGCTAACTGGCCTGTTTTCATTCTCATCTATCATCCTTCACTGGTGCTCCGCCAGCGTATCCCGTTAGCGCAGGCGGAGTTACCGTTACCATACCATTTTCACCCATCAAAGAACCCTGAACATAATAAAAAAATAATGAATACTTACCGTAAGTTTGATAGCCTTTTCTGGAGCCACTCCAATCAGCTGAGGAACAAGGCCTCTGTAAAGGCCGAATAAACCTTCGTGACGGATGACCTTCCGGAAACAATCCAGAGAGTTCCGGTACGCCACCTCGCCGACGAAGGAGCCGGTGCGTTGGTTTTGCATTCTTGTTTTCACTAAGTCGATGGGGTACACGGCTGATGCACCCACAGCTGTGTAATGAATTAATATTTAGTAAATATATTTTATTATTTATTTATACTTTACTAGTCTTTACTCACGTCTTTATCTGCATGACAGAGATTAATTGAATGACTGAGATAAAAAGTAAACAGGTAAAAATTCTGTTATCATCGATTAAAAAAAATGACCTAACTACCTACACCAGGGAGGGATTGTTAATTATGGCAATTAAGGGTCCCATTGCTAGTAATATATCCAACTAGGTAATTGACCACGTGCCCCCCCTGGAAACCATCGTGCTGAATTCCAAGTGTATTTGTCACGATGGGCTAACTGACCTGTCTTTTCATCCTCACCTATCATCACTCGCTGGTGTCCCGCCAGTGTATACCGATAGCGCAGACGGGGTTACCATTCTATAATCCATTAAAAAAAAAAAAACTACCTATACCTGTCATTCCTCACTGGTCCCCGCCAGCGTTTTGCATTTTAATTCATTAAAAAAATACATTTTTTATGGGACGAGTCGGTGTTCAATAGCGAGACGTTAACAGGTTCTTATGGTATTCTATGGAAAGGAACATATTATTGTTATATCAGTCCTTAATTGTCCACTGCTGGGCATAGGCCTCTCTCATAAGGAGATTTTGCCAGTAGTTGTCACGGTTGGCAGGCGGATTGGCATTCGCAGTTAGGCTTTGGCGATGTTTAAAGAGGAACGCGGCTACCCATCCCGCGTCTATTAACCTCCCGTAGTCGCCTCTTAAGACACCAACGGTAAATGAAAAGATGGCCCATTCTATGCCGGGACCACATGGCAATATATTAATGATTTTAAATTAATATAAAAACCAAGTTACTTACCACCGGCAACAGAACCAAGGGTAAACCTATATGTATTCTCCAATATTTGTATAAGAAAACTACGCTCCTCTGGACTCTGTAACAAGCATAACACACGTATTTGTCCGTTTCCTATCGAAAAACAATTAGCCAATTAGCGTAGTTCGACTAATAATTTTGTAAATGTTTTTACATTTTCAACTTTATTAGTGTGTAGCACAAGCTATATTACATTGGCAAAAGTTATTGATAAATAAATGAGAAGGTGAACTATGGGGAAAAGTTATAGAAAAAAAACCCTTAAAATAGAGATGATTCTACATTTCAATAGTATGTACGTGTCGTCATCATTGCCTTGCCTTTATGCCATTATTTATTTAGAACTAACTGTATCCCGCATATTTGTCCACGTGAATTAGTACCTATTTGCTAAGTTAAGATATAACCTACCCGTGCACCAAATTTCATTCAAATCTGTACAGTAGTTTTTGCATAAAAGAGTAACAAATATCCATCCATCTTTACAATTTTTCGCATTTATAAAGTAAATAGGACAAACGTAGCATGTTTACATCTTTCAACGATTCCTATCATCATACTTGGTGACTTTAAAATAATTTATACACCAATTATAATAGGAATTTCTTTGTATAACCGGCCAATGTAAATCTACTAGTCCGTTAATATTACGCCCTCAGCGGGAGACGCCTATTAAATTCGGTGGGTTATGTGAAGCGAATCCTATTATGTTTCGTGTAAAATGCTTTATAAATCCTCTGGGCTCACTTCTCTTCCACACAGTCCGTTCAATTTTTCTTTTGTCCTTCCCATTGGCATATTTAACATTTTCCTGGATTAGCGCGGTGCTTTAAAATGGGTGTATATAAACTCTCAAATATCTTTGTCGCTCCGATCCTAAAGTCAACTATAAATTTGGCCCTTTAATAAACGTGTCTCTGTAAAGCTTTGCTCGAATCCTGATGTGGGCACCAGACAGCACTGAGGTAGGCACGACTCCCCTTCCTCCCCCATCCTAAATATGCCTATGGCTCTGATATTATGTCTTAATGCATGCTGTACATGGTGTTCGAGTTGGGGGCCTGGATTCCTGAGATACAGATCTCTGATCTAGTTTAGGGTCCAGTCTCCCATAAGTTTTACAGACCATTGTAATTATACATATATAGTTGTATTTTTTCATGTAACTGTATTTTTCTGTAAAATTTGTGGAGAAAATAAATAAATAAATTATGTCGTATTTTTACCAAAAGGTCAGACTTATTCCCTAGTTCTTGTACTAGTATACCTTGCGAGACCAAATAACGAACATCTATTGTGGATAAGCCAGTACACCCAGACTCGAGACAACTTGTAACTAAATATTGTAATACTTTATCCCTAAATTGTTCCGAACTGAGAATTGAACTCAGGGCCTATTTACACAAAGCTTCAGTGATCAACACTTTGGTGTATCAAAAATCATGTGAATTATATATTTAGAATAGGTTGAGTAAATAAAAAGTTTATGTAGTTTGTAATTTAAAGCTTACTTATGATCTTCATAAACACGTCAAATCTCTCATAAATCTATTTTAGCTATTGAACAGTTTTGTCTCTTTCTCTTGTACTAAATTTCCAATTTGAAAGAAAGTGACAAAACAGTGTAATAAATAAAGTGACAAAAAGTTAAAATAGGTTTATAGAATGTCTTAGTTTTTATGAATAAGGGCAAGTACCTCGTAGTGTATTTGAGAAATTAAAATAAACATACAATCAAGTAATATCGTGAGGATTCTCTATTGCCATTTTTTTTTTACTGGCAGCAGAACAAAATAAGAGAAGCCCTCTTCTTTCCAAAAGGCATAAATTGTTAGTTTCAAGTCGACAAAAGTTATTATATAGGGTGAAAGAGTTGAGTTGGCCAGAATGAAAACAGCTGATTTAAACGAATGGTCTCAGATCAGATGCCAGATTATTTTCCCACCGGAAATGCACTATAGTCATATAATTAACGATACTTAGTTTTGACGCCGCGCAATGTATTTAAAATTTTACGACGTACTGTGCTCCACGCGACGCGGGATATCAACGGCGCGCGGTCAACGGCGCTTCTTCGTAGGTAGTTCTCGTACACTTGTAGCGTTGACATTACACAGTTGATTCCGCGCGTCGCGATAGGATTTTAATACAAATAACAAATTACTGTTTTCTGGTATTTCATAGTAATTCACTATAAAATACTATTATTTCTTTATATTACGACATAATTTTAAATGAAAAAAGAGGAAAATGTTTCAAATTTTCCGAAATAAATTTTCCACTGGTTTTCATTTCAGATTAATAGTCTTAATTCACTGATTCAGTTTTTGCCAACCTGTGTGTCTACCATGAAATGAAATCCCGAATTTTCGGGCTCAATTTCGTGTTTTTGTTCGTACCGAAATCGATCCTGTAAATGGAGCTTAACATTTCGTTTGTCATAAATCCTACCACAAAAGTCCAAAGGAACGATACTTTAGAACGTTTTAATATTTTTAAACGGTATGTATTGTGTAATTTTAATATTAAATTTGTGTCTCGTTCGGATCCGAAATTTCGGAAAACATTTCATGGTAGGTCCTCTGTTTCTTACACCCTGTATAATAATAAAAAGTCATTGTCAAGGTGACAAAAATTATTATAGAGCAACATCCTAGATCGGGCCATGTTTACTGTAATATACATATTGCGTAAAACCATAAGTGAATTGTGAACGTAATAAAATAAATGTTACTTATCCTACAAGTAACGTTTGTTTTTAATAAAGCGTCATCAGTGGTACTGTAAAAGTGAAAAGCTGTTTAAATATTTAAATTGCTTTAGAACAGAAAATATGGCGAGATATTGGTCGATATTTCTATATATATATATATTACATAGTGTATTTTAAATATATTAGAGATTTAAAAGAACATCTGTTGAGTTTCTTGCGAGCTCTTCTCAATAGATAACAAGTTTCCAAACCCTGCAGTAGAATTATCAGAGGGAGACTTTGTACAAAATTCGATTGCTTGGGTACCTCTGTCCCATTCGTGTTTCAACCATGAAGCAGTTGTATTTGCATGGCTGTGTTTCGGTTTGAAAGGTGCGATATGGCGTGAATTTACTGGGTACAGAGGAATAACACCTGAGTCCTCAGGAATGGCAACGCATGGGGGGTATCATGGACGAAACAGTATACTCTGTTATGTCCATGGTACTGCTCATGTCTATAGGCGACGGTTACCACTTTCCATCAGGTGGGCCGTCAGCTTGTTTACCATTCTAAGTTGTATAAAAAAAAAAAAAACTTAAAAACATATGACGATTTTAAATTGCTTGTAAACAAGTCTATTTAAATAAAGATGATTTAAATTTGTAATGTTGTAATAAGATTTAAATGTTGTTTTCGCTTCTCTTCTATGTGTTTGTTTGTTTGTAACAGTTTTTGTACATTAGTCTCATAGGGGAAAAAGTTCTTAAAAGAAGAACGAGTACAAAAGCAGACTTATCCTATAAAAGTGATTTCTTCCAGATAACCTCTAAATGTTTAATGTGAATTGGTGGACACAAATAATCACGTGTTTAAATTTAATATGTGTATCAATAACACGAAAAAATTAAGATGTTATTGTTTTTGTTTTAAATAAATAGATATAATCAAAATTTATTATATATATTTATTTATTTATTTCGCTGGAATTTGGAACCTTTACTAATATTTGAAATTTAGTATATACATACTATATGGGATATAGAAGCAAGCTTTTTATCTCGGTCAGTGACGCGGACGAAGTTACGCGTAAAAGCTAGTTCAAAATAAATCTTTGTGCCCTAAATGTAGTAAAATGAAGGACAGTGGTTCAGGCATGATAAAACTTTTTTTTTTAATATTTCAAGCATATAAAGCTGAAATTAAAAGTGTATCTATAATTGTAATGTTCTATTTATAATGGGAGATTAACCTTTAGAATATATATATTGTGTCAATACATTTTCAACCTTATTGTAGTAGGTATTTGTACTATAAGTGTAAAGAAAAAAAATTAAGACCAATATCTCACCATACTCTTTTTATATGTAATGGTAAAAGAACATAGAAACATCATGAACTCGTGTGACCTGTACTTACCATGATGCGTCCCAAATAGTTTATTAATTGATAAGGCTCTCTTAATATATTTACCTCCTCCTTTTGTGCATTGAAAGAAAGAGAAAAATACAGAGCAATAAGTTAGTGATGTTTCCTATAATAGTTCTTAACATAACAACACAAAGTCCAAATTACACTAAACATACATTTTTAATAAACGTGTAATCGCGCTGTCGGCTCCTGCAAGAATTTCGTAGTGTTGCGTTAAAACGAAACAGCTATATACGGTTAGTGTGAGAGTGAAAAAGACGGATGTATACTTACCGAGACCGCCCTGATTTCGGCGACTCTTCGTGTGACCTGCTTGAAGTATTGTTCGGGCGTGATCGAGTTGAGATCATTGTATATGATTCGACTGAAAAGAGCAGAAATAATAATATTTAATTTTATTGCTTTTTATTGTATCAATTGAGATAGTAGAGAGAAAGAGAGTAGATTCAGCAATTTTCATATGATATAGCCCTGATTCACGTTAACCACAATAGTATTCATTATTATATCAGTCGTTAACTGTCCACTGCTGGACATAAGTCTCCCCCATTATAGAAGTGTTGCCATGCTCGGCAACCGCAGTTTTTTTTTATGGGTGAAAATGGTATGGTAACCCCGCCTACACTAACGGTATATGCTTGCGAAGCACCAGTGAAGGGTGATAGATGAGAATGAAAACAGGCCAGTTGGCCCATCATGATAAATTCGTCAGGAATTAACCATGATAGTTTCTAGGGAGAACTGCGAGGAGGTCGACCTGGTTGGGTATATTGCTAGCAATGGGATTCTCAGTCTCCATTAATAACAATCCCTTTCCCCCCCTGGCAATTGCAGTTAGGTTAGGTTAGGCGATGTTTTAAGAGGATCCCTCGATCATTAAACTCCCTTAATTGTCTCTTTCGACATTCACGTAACAGAAAGGGGTGGCTTGTTCTATGCCGGGACCACATGGCAACATTTTTCCTAATAGTATTGATCTTTTACAATGTTCGACTTTATATTGCAATATTGGGTTAATATCGTGCCAAAAAACAAAATAAAATTGTAAGAAAAGACGTATGCAAATCGAATATGTTTTTGGACTTGCATTCTTTATATATAGGTTTCATTTAATTTTCAAAAATCTGTATATGTACGCATATGAATTATATCTCAGAATTACACATATGGACAATTTTATTTTAAATCCGTAAGCGTAACCGCAGGTTACAGCTAGTAAATTATATAAAAAATATCCCAAACAATTCTGAGGAAGGTACCGTGTTTTTTTTAATGGATGATAATGGAATGGTTACCCCGCCTGCGTTATCGGAATACACTAGAGGGGCACCAATGAGGGAATCTCTTTCCCCCCTGAAAGGCAGGTCAATTAACTCTTCGTGATGGGGGGAAAGGGATTGTTAGTAATGGAGACTGAGAAGTCCATTGCTAGCAATATACCCAACCAGATCGACCTCCTCGCGGTTCTCCCTGGAAACTAAAATGATCTGTTAACCCCGCCTGTGCTAACGGGATAAGCTGGCGGAGCACCAGTGAAGAGTGATAGATGATAATGAAAACAGGCCAGTTAGCCCATCATGATGAATTCATCAGGAATTAACCATGATAGTTTCCAGGGAGTACTGCGAGGACCGTGTGTTCCCGACACAGATTAAGTCCTTCCTTGCCGTGGGTGTCGTAAGAGGCAACTAAGGGAACTTAATCGTAGAGGGAAGGGCAGCAGCGTAAAACATTTCTAAAAGCCTAACTGCGGTTGCCAACCCGCCTGCCAAGCGTGGCAACTACTGGCAAAATTCCCCTTATGAGTAAGGCTTTATGTTCAGCAGTGGAGAGTTAATAGTTGAAATAATAATAATAGGCACTATAATATTAAGTTTTCGTGTTCCATATTGCTCTAATGATTTACTAAATTGCTTTATAAAACACGCAAGCAACAAGTATGCGGCTAACGAGTGTAAGAGATACGTGAAGTAAACTAGTATATAATCAATGTATATATAAATATATAAACAATATCATTATTTGATGTTATTTTTAAGTGTTTATAATGTATTGTTGTTATTCATTTTATACTACATAATTAATCCTACGCCAACCAATGTTGCCAGAGTAAGATTCTAAACTATCTTAATGTGCATTACACACATAAATTATTTAATAAATATAGAATTTAGAAAAAAATAATATTATTTTTATTTTTACCTTTTAAATTAAAAATACTCAAATATTATAATTTTTCGATACTGGCAACTTGAAATAATATTTTATGTTACTTAGTATGGCAACGTTTTACACTCTCTGATTTTTTCGAATCTGTCATAGTATAACGTCAAAAAGTTTTTCGTTCTCGTAAGTTAAACGTTTAACAATAATTTATTGATATATAAGTAAATAATATAGTGTATGATAAAATAGAGTTCCGACGGCAACAATCATGATAATTTTGGCAGTCAGTATTTGGTTTTAGCTTAGGGATATATATCTTTAAGTGCAGTGTAATAGAGTATTAAAATAGGATTGGTAAGTCGTGGTCTTTTCTTTTAATTTTTATATGTTCGCTTTAATTTGTGGGTAAATTATAAATTTTCGATACAGTCCACTTTTAAAATACATTCTTTTCGTAATCGAAGGAAATACATTTAGAAAAGTAACTATTCATCCCTTTATATTTCAGTCTCACGTTAAGTAATATTTGTTAGGGTTGTCAATAGATAATAATAATTTTACTAAATATAAAAAATATTACAGTTCAAACTACAAGAACAAATTTCTTACTCACTTGTTCGTATGATGAATCATGTCGCACAGGGTGAAGAGTATTTCAACCTCCAGCGGTGTGATTTGACTCATCATTTGGGCTGAATGTAGAAATTCCTCCTTGGTGACTTCTTGCGTTCTGTGGCCATTAGTCGCGTTCAGATACACACGTTTAATCAGTTCCATGTTATTTAATAATGAATTAAAGGCCATATAGTATGGAAAACTGATTTTTCGCTCGCCTTGCGGGAACCCAGATGCCTAAAAATAAATTATTTTTGAAATAAACCAGGGTTTTATCAATACAAATGAAGATATCAGCTATAAACCTATAAACTTATTTTAACTATTAATAAATTGTTTTGTCACTTTCTATCTAATTGAGAATGTAACGCAAAAGAAAGAGACAAAACACCTGAATAGCTAAAAATAAGTTTAGAGGACTTTGACATTTTATGAATGGGAGTGTAAGTTTAAATATATTTTTAATTCTAAGTCGTTTGGTAAATGAATTAAAATAATTTTATTCAATGTTACAGTATATTAAAGTATAGATGGAGCCACTTACATTTATAACCTTTTGTTTTAAATCCTTAGTCAATAGATGGCTCTTTATAGTCAACATAATATTCCTAAAGTCGCCGGCACTGATAAAACCGGTGCCATCCTTGTCACACTTTTTGAACGCCTCCACACCGTACTCCTCGTGGAAGTCGTGGAGGAACTGGCTGAACTCCTGGTATGTTACCAACCGCTTCTTATCCTTGCCAAAGTAGAGCCGCACGAAAGTACTCTCCATGTTGAATGGTAATTTCTTGTGGAGGACCGTCTTACGCATGACCTCCGCGAACTCGTCTGTAACGAAACGATTGCATGATATTTTAAACTATATATTTTTATTACATTATATGTATAAAAAAATAACATATTATATATATATATATATATATATATATATATTATATATATATATATATATATATATATATATATATATATATATATATATATATATATATATATATATATATATATATATATATATATATATATATATATATATATATATATATATATATATATATATATATATATATATATATATATATATATATATATATATATATATATATATATATAAAATAATAACTTAGACACCTATAAATTTACTACATAACAGTAATCTGATAAAGAAATAATGATTATTTCAATAATTATTCTGTGATTAAAAATATCGACTACAGCGAGATTTGAACTCACAACTCCTACGCCATGCTGAAACCAGTTCTCTGGTCTAATATAAATAATGTTTTATCTAAGACCTAATCACGACTGCGGTCGGTATTATGGGCACGCAAGTCTGTAAACATCAAATTTAACCTTTTGATGTTTACAGACTTCCGTGTCAGAATACTTATCGCTCTAAAATTAATGTCTAAAAATAGTAACATAAAACAGAGCTTTTGTCTATGTGTTGTTTTCTAAATTACACCATTCAATAGATTCATATCGATTCACTTTACAATATAAACATAGAATAATCATTTTTTTTTATTATTTATTTTATTTTACTTTGAAAGGGAAACATACAATACCTAAGACATATAAAATAGAATACAAACACAGATATACACACACAGACAGACATACAATTCATTTAACAGCCAATTCAATAAATGCTCGTAATACCAGAAGAAATATTCGCGCTTTGGGGGCGGGGGGGGGGGGGGAGGAATGTTTGTTTATAAAGACTGGCCGCATTGCTAGCAATAAACGCTGATATCAACCTTCACGCGGTTCTACTTGGAAACAATAATGTAAGCAAGTGTTAAGCGACAGAATGAGATAAAAGAAACAATGAAGTTATGGAGATGACTTTGTAGAAAATCTCTCTTTGGTAAATAATTCCTTTCTTGTGGGCTACCAGCCTATGTTTTAAAATATATATGTAGGTTTTTTCACTATTGTAGGGTCCCGCAACTAAATGGAAAGCAATGATGTGGTTTAGGATGGGACTCACGAGCTCAAGAATAGCTTATTCACATTTGCCTTAAATTGGTACAAAAAATTAAATTGGAATTGGACATACTTGATAATCTTGTTTATTTAAGCAACGGACGTACGGAAAACATTCTTTTATCGCGACATATCATACGTATAACAGAGCTTGTTAAGATGATTGGGTCAATAAACAAAATTTGGCACGGAATACTAGATGGCGTTGGAATCGAGACTTGTAGTTTTTGTTGTTATTTTATAAATAAAGATAATTTGAGACAAACTTACTAAATTGACGTGTGATATTATTTATTTTTTACCCATATAAAAATCATTTATCATAATTTTTGTATATATTCTTTTGTATTGTACAACTTTAAATAAAAAAACACATACTACCAAGAAACATTGTGATTGTGTGCGTTATAATTCATTCAAGAAAAGATCACGTATTATCTGTCACTTCAAATTCCTACATAATAATAAAAACCACTAGCCAATTTGGAAATTTTACTTCAACTTAAATCAAATTTAACTACAAAATAATTACCAGAAACCACAAGTGTCGATTCCACTGCCTTCTAGTATTTCTTATCTCGTTTTGTTTAGTGCCTTTAATTGTAAATATTATTCTTTATATAATCATGTACTAAATCTTTCTTTCTCTTCTTTTAAATTTCTAAATATAAATCAATCTTTACGTTGACATCCCTACAACCTGATCCGAAGGAGAAGGGACATTCTCTTTCTAATATACACCTTGCTAGCAATATAACTCTATCATGTGTGATGGCTACGCCATTTATTCTAAAGACCATCGTAGTTAATTCTTAAATCCATAACCCAACCAACCATACCCCCGTAGGGGGAGGTTTATGTTCAACAGTGGACAATTAAAAACTAACATGATGGTGATGATACTTCATTCGCCTGACATAGACACAACTAAGTATAACGAATAGTCTATAATAAATTATGTCTTTATTTAACTTACCAAAAGCAACGAGCCCATTGCCATTTGTGTCAAACAGTTGAAAGGCGGTCTTGTACAGTGCGTCCGGGACACACAGCAGGCCCTCGAAAGCTTGGAACTCTGAGAAGGATATATACCCGTCCTTGTCCATGTCCACGATGCCGGCGATGAGCTGGACGGATTCCTTGTTGAAGTCATCTGTAAATATGATTAAATGTTCAGACGTGACAAATCACATACATGACACGTGACAAAGCCACATACATGATATGTGGCAAAGTCACACACATGTCACGTGACAAAGTTACATACATGACACGTGACAAAGTCACATACATGAGACGTGACAAATTTTCATACATGCGACTTGACAAAGTTTCATACATGCGACGTGACAAAGTTACGTACATGGGAACTCACAAAGTTTCATATATGGAACATGGCAAAGTTTAATACATTAGACGTGACAAAGTCACGTGCATGGAACGTGACAAAGTCACAAACATGAGACGTGACAATGTGTCATACATGGAACGTGACAAAGTCACATGCATGGAACGTGACAGTCACATACTTGGGACGTGATAAAATCATATACATGACTACGTCATAAACAAGTAGATGACAAATTCACAAAAATCCTGACAGTAAAATACTTCTTCGACATTTATGTTTGAAACTGATTATATTATAAAATAGTATAAAACCGTCACGATAGTGAAGCTAATGGATTGCAAAATAATCATCAAAATCTTTTCTAGCTTTTTTTTAAATTATAGCACTACACGTGACCACGCCTTTTTAGCGATTTCACGATACAAAAAAAGACACCGTCAAATTGAGAATATTGTTTTAAAATCGCTTAAAAACACTTCATCTCTCTGCTCAATAAACTCTGACAGATAAAATTATGATAATCAAACCAAGATTGATATATTGCAATACGCTACTTTGTAATGTAAGTAGCTTATGATTTATACTTCAGTGGCCTTCTGTTTGCAATTTTGATGCGTCTCTATAAAACTATTATATAATTGACTATCTTATCAATTTTCTACTTTATCTCAGATTTACAGATAGAACAATACATATAAATATTAAAAATAAACAAAATTTATTCAATAATATTAACTTTACGGCTTTATTATTATTATTTTTACATTAAAATGAAGGAAGTTCTTAATTTGATATTTTACTATGTGCAAAACAATGACGAACCGATTTTGGTTAGTCTTTTTACAAACGAATGACCTCGTGTTATTTTTATGATAATTAAAGCTGCCATTTTTCTTAGGATGGCACAACCTTATATTAAAACAGGATAGGACTTTTATACAACATTTTTTTCTTTATTTCACATTTATTTCTTTATTTAAAGTTTTCGTACATTTGACAGACTTAACACCGGACGGTGTTCTCTACCAGTGTACCATTTGGTAAACAGAGAAATAAGTAGGCGGTGCATTATAAAATAGAGGAAACATAGTAATATTTAATATATCCATATATTATAAACATATAATTAGATTAATATAAACATACATATAATCTATCTATACTTATAATAAATGTGTAGAGAGGTCAACTCTGTACATGAAATATATTTCCAAAATAACTATCAGGGGGTGATTAGCAATCGATACTGATGCCAAAAATGCAATCAGTAAAATTTTTGTCTCTCTGTCAGCATGTTCGTTATAGAAACAAAAACTACTCGACGGATTTTAACGAAACTTGGTACAATTATTCTTCATACTCCTTGGCAGGTTATAGTATACTTTTCAATACGCTACGATCAATAGGAGCAGAGCAGTGAAGGGAAATGTTAAAAATGTCCACCCGTGCATTTACATAAAACATTTACTAAATGGCAAATGTGTAAACATAATAAAAATAGGAAGTACTGTTTACCAAAGGGATTAATAGATAGGTACGATTTATCTATGTTTGTTTTTAAATGCTTATCATATAAATCATGTTGAAGTCATAGTGTAAAATATGTGATTATAATATTGATAGAACTATTAAAAAAGTGCGTCGAATTTTTTTGCAAATCACTTTAAGATTGTGTTTAACAAAAAATAGTTCAATATTGAACAAATTAGATAGAAACCAATAACGAACAGAAATCACTGAGCAAAAATAATTATCAAAATAAATTCACGAATGGATAACGCGTAACATAAACATACAAATATAGCTGTACTGAGATCTGACAGTCTTTTTTAAATAATCATAACAAATGCGTTAAAAAGAGGATTTACATATTAACAGAAACATTACATATTAACTTTAATTTATTGTTGTATTGTAATTTGTAAAAGGCCCATGGTATTGCAGATGTACATGGGCTACGGTAATCGCTTACCATCAGATTGGGTCGTATGCTTGTTTGCCACCTCAGTGGTATAGAAAAAAACATACAATAAATTGAATGACGAACCTTCAGTAAACAATCCCAGGAACTTTCGCACGAAGTCCTCGCTTGTGATGTGTTGCTCTCCATTTTTTTCGACGGTGGCGTACTTCAGAAATATTTCATAAAGTCGGTCCGAGTCGGCCCTTTTCAAATAACCAGCCCCCTGTAAGAAAAATTTAATCCAAAGTCCTTTTGGGTTGATGCAATTATAACGATTAATTTGTAATGTACTTATGCATTTGGCATTTCGTAATAGTACATTGCACATTTATCACCAATTGTAATCTGAACGACTGAAGTACTGTAAACAAGTTTATAGATTAGATATCTATAATTATTGAACCGTTAATTTTGTGATTTTAAACCATTGACCTTGGGATGCATGGTACAGAAATAGATGGTAAAATACATTGATAAGAACGACTGCATTGCAGATAAGAAAATAAAGTTATGCAAACCATGGTAGCGGCACGAGAAATACTTAGGCTATGACATTGGACGCTGGGAAGGCCCTGCGTTCAATGTCAAAGTTTGGAGGGTAGTATAAGGTTTTCATTGTGCTAATTTCCAAAATTATTCTTTATAAAATTGCAACCGTACCGCGAACTGCGTGGTTTACAATATTGAAACCTTTGTGATTAATTAACGATGATAAAAAAATTCGATCATCAATACTACTGGTGATGAAAATGCTTATTAGAATTATATATTTCGTTTAACGAATATTTTTTCCGACGTTTTAAGATTTTATAGGTAACGCTGATCAATATTTTAAAGTATTAGGGCAAGATTTCACGATATTGGGGTATAGGCAAATGAAGATAAATAAATACATCATATGTATAACCGTATGTCACACAATTTTGCAATTTGTGACAAATCGTTACGAGATTTGAAAGAAAATACCCATATGCATCACAAATATACATACTAGTCATTCTCATAAATGATAATAAATATATCAAAGATTACCAAAAAGAATTTTTTGACAATAAGTATTATATATAGAAAATTCTAAAATCTGTATGTCAGTTCGCTTGTATTATTTTGCATAGTAGGCCAAAAATAGGAAATTGCCATTACAATAAGATATATATGTATATACTTAGTAACAAATTCTTTTAATATAATAAAATTGTAGCTTCACAATGTCTGTACTTATGATAGATAATAAAGAAAAATCCATATGAGTGGTCTTAATATGAGCAATAGCCAAAACAATCATTTTTAGACATTTTGTTTGTCTATTGTACGTGTGTATGTTTGTTCCGGTTTCACGCAATAACTATTGCACCAAACTGGATGCCGTTTTCAGTTATATTTTTGCCATGTAATTCCGGCATAAAATGACCACTTCTTTCCCCGTGGTTGTCGTAAGAAGCGACTAAAGGAATTTAACGATTGAGGGACGGGTAGCAATGCTCCTATTAAAACATCACCAAAGCCTAACTGCAGGGAGGAAAAGGGATTGTTAGTAATGGGGATTAGCAACCCCATTGCTAGCAATAAACTGTCATCAACTCGACCTCCTCGCGGTTCCCCTGGAAACCATCGTGATTGATTTATTGTTAAATTCGTCACGAGGGGCTAACTGACCTGCTTCATCCTCACCTATCATCGTTTACTGATGCCCCGCCAGTGTATACCGATAGCGCAAATGGGGTTACCATTCATCAATACCATTGTCATCCATAAAAAAAGCCTAACTGCAAATCCCAAAATATGGGGGAGTTCTATATTCAAAAATAGACAGTTAATAGCTGATAAAATAATAATAATAATATAATTTAAAATCTGGTATATTTATCTTGATATATTTATCATTAATGCGATATAGTTTGCCATTCCTACTTCTGAAATTCACGCATTACGAATCAGTGAACAAAAAGCTAGTTTATAATAATGGAATGATAAACAAAATTTGAACAAAGACATCACTGTGTTTTTAATTAACGTTAATTAAAATATAACAACAAGAAGCTTTGACGTGATGTTGTAATATATAAATAGTCTACAGTATAAACGGATAAGACTGGACATTGGGATACATTGTAGTTGTAAACGATACTAGGAAGTGTTTTATTCTAATTGCCTCCAAATCAAAAGATTTTTTATCAGCGGGTCTACCGTGAAATGAAATGCCGAAATTTCGGACTCAATTTCGTCATTTTGTTTGTACCAAAATGGGACCAATAAATGGAGTTTAATACTTCGTTCGTCATACATCCTATCGTAAAAGTCCAAAGGAACAATATTTTAACATTTTTAATTTCCAAACGGCATGTATAATGTAATTTTAACATCAAATTTGTGTTTCGTTTATTCGGAACACGTTTCATGGTAGGCCCTCTGGTTTCAAATAATCTTTACATGTTAAAAGAAAATCATACGTAAAAGTATGTTTTCAATGCATTTGTTTTGAAATAATAACGTAATCAAATATTAGTTACGACACAATAGATTCGTAATCAGTTGGATAAATTGATAAAATTATTGACTGAATGATGACAGGAAAATAAAGTCTTACATGGTCAAGTTAAGAGCATATGTTTGTTTTTGAGTCACTACTAGTGATAACAAAGTAATCATTGTGTACTGTGGAATATTATCAATAAAAAGTAACAAAAAACTTGACTTTACACTTTATATGCTACTAGCTTTTACCTGCGACTTTGTCTATGATTAAGACATGTTTACAGATCAGGATAAAAAGTAGCCTACATCCTTCACCATGTAAATTAAATTTCATAGTAATAAACCGTTAAGGCAATATAAAGTAACTGTTTGTTAGAAACTCACTTTCACATTTATAATATTAGTAAGGAGGGGGGAAAGGGATTGTTAGCAATGGAGTTTGAAAGCCCCATTGCTAGCAATATAACTTATTAGGTCGTCTTCCACGTGGTTCCACGATGGGCTAACTGATCTACTTCATCCTCACCTATCATTATTCACGGGTGCCCCGCCTGTGTATACCAATAGTGCGGGTGGAGATACCATTCCATTATCATCCATTAAAAAAAAAACATTAGTAAGGATTAACAATTCTTTTTTTATGATATTGACAAATATTTGCCAGCATATTTATTTTTAAATTTTATCATCATAATACACAGTCTATACTTTGTAAATATTTTTACCTAAGTTATAGTTGTAATATTTTTTTATATTAAGTTTATTCTCTCAATTTATGTCTCTCTATTGTTATCTGTGTATTGTAACACTAATTGGTTGTCTTATATTTGTGTAGTCCATGGAGATGGGGCACTGGTGACTTGTAACACAGGTCTCTTCAAAACCTACTGCAAGCACCAGTCTCTCACAAAATTGGTCTCACATATTTAATTGTAAGTCAAGTTGTTACTTTTTACCACCTTTTGTGAAGAGAAAATAAACCATTCAATTTTATAGGTCCTTTCCTTTTTATAGGTTTCTTTATGTTTAAAAATAATATACATTATATATGGACATCAAGAGGTGAAGAGACTCACTGAAAATCATAGCGAGTGGCGAGGGGCTCCACTGACAAGAGTGCAGTTCTTAAATAGGATAGACAGATGAACATATAAATGTCTATATATACACAACAAAATTTAATAACAACATTCAAACCCAGTGGCATAATTATAAAATTTAACAATTAAAAATACTTGTGATCAAGTTTAATTAAACAAAGATTTATTACTATTCTATTCTAAACCCAAAAAATGTTATTATTCATAATATTGATTCTGATATCTTATCAATTTATTATAAGTTGAACATAGTTAAAAAATAACAAGCTGTGTTATATAATATTACTAGTGTTGTTTACAGTTTAAAATTTTACTGATTATCATGTGCATATTAAATTTTAATTTCATTAATGGCAACATACGTTTAAATTTTTCCTTCTATAACCCAACTGGTTGTAGAAATCATTCAAGAGTTTGTAATATAACTTATTAAGATTATTTTTATTTTCAACGGACTTCAAAAAGAAGGATGTATTCAATTCAGTTATTTTATATTTATTGACTCATAACTCCGTCAGTTATAAAGCAAATTGGATAATTCTTTTTTTTTTTATCTCAAAGGACGGACTAACAGCTTGATCTCATACAAATTTTTATTAAAATTACTTCAGTAGTTTAAATTTTAGACCAAAATAACTGATTACGTCATAATTGATATAGGTCTTTTTTTGTGGGACACAATCTTTAATTACGTTTGAATAATACAAGACTTGATCCAATATCTACTATAAAAAAAAGCTACAATAATTTTCAGTATTCAATATACAGGATTGATTGAAAACCAGTGATAATACTGATGAAACTGAACAACTTTACTAAAAAGAACACAATTAAAATACTCAAGTCACATAATTATACATTTGAATTATTATGGAAATCCCATTAATGTTATTACTTACCTATATTCCTTGGGGAAAATTGTTCAGTTTCATAAACAGTATCATTGGATTCTGAGTTGGCATGCCCTTTGCAAACCATTAACAGATTATAAATGAGAAGTATTTGAATAAAGTTCAATGGACAATAAATGGCCATTTTAATCCTGGCCACAAAACAACTCATTATCAGAAAAAAAATAAGAACATTAAAATACTATTGCACTTTTGTATCACAAAAAAATTAACTATTATTAAAAACAAAATGATATCAATTAATTAAACTTTATTTAAAAATTCACTGATAAAAAAAATAAAACAGATTCGCCTTGTACTTCATATTGATAACTGTCACAGTGAAAAGTAATGAGTTTTATTATTTTTTTTTTTTATTCACTTATAACGAAGCAAAGGTATGATTAGAAAACAATAAATTACCCGGCGAGTAGTCATTTTGTTGGGAAGACACAAATTGTACTGGCTTTGTAACCATTGATATGTATGGTTGACGTAATAGATAAGAATTATCTTTTACACTCAAGAACCTATAGCTTTATATAAATTGTCTCACATTACTACAATGCATTGTAGCAAGCCGACAGTGCATTATTCTATTAAAAAAAAAAAAAGAAAGAATAATAATAAATTCTCCAAGTATTGGTAAGTAAAAATCTACATTCAAATTTCATGGTTAAGGGAATTTATTTATTTATAAAGGTCAAAAGGTTAAGTTTGCCGTTAGTAGGTTATCTAATAATAATTATCTGTAATAAGTTTTTTGTAGGGTCAGGTGATGAGATAAATCAAAGAATTTATATATGTGTAAATAGTGTAGAAATTGTTGATAAGCAAATATTCTGAAGGTCGCTTTTGTAACGTTATCTGCAAATCAAGGACGACCGCTTCAAGGACACTGCTGTGTCAAAACGTTCAATAACTAGCGATTTAAAATATTTTAGTATACACAGTATTTATTCTGTAAGTAAATAAGCCTTTTTAAATAATACAAAACTTACCCACCTCTTGACAGCTGGCCTGAGTTATCAAGTAGCTGAACAAGGATTTAAACATTACACTGTTTTTCAATAGATGTAAATTTTTCTAGAAAACCTATAATGTTTATGCTCTTAAGATGTATGGATTCCGCTTATCTGATTACACGTCACGACACATATAAATAATAGAAAAAAAAATCTATTTTAGTTGAACACGCAGGCCGCTCATGATCATTTAACTTCAACCGGCAGATAATAATGCAATAATATAAAAATGCAATATTATTTAGAAGTATCTTTTTTTAAAGAATAGCTCTTTAAATAGGTCGTATTACAGCTCTGTCTTTTTTGACACTTTTTTGGCAGTTGGCATCTTGACATTTAGTGTTGTGCTTATAATGTTTTCAATCTATATTATGGACAACTTGATTAAGGTATAATTAATTGTTATTTTAAAAATTTATATTGTGTATTTTGAATATTACTTTAGATAGTTGTTTCTTATGTGGAGAGATATTTACTTATCTGTAGTTAACTGAGTTACAAAGTTTTAGTAATAATAAGAGTACTATGTATGATCATTATACACTTCATCGCTCGAACTGTCCTCAACCTTCACCAATGCCTATTAATTATTAACTAATTGCAAAAGGATTCCGCCACAACATTCTTCCACTTCCACTGGCTCGTAAACCTAATTTACTGGTAGGAGTAGGGAAGGATTCTAATGGAGACTATCAGCTCTTTTAGTAGCAATACATCCTGTCAGGTCGACCTTTACGCAGTTCTCCCAGGAAACCGTCATGATTATTTCATAATAATATTGTCAGGATAGACTAACAGGCCTGCTTTTATCCTCACCTAATCATCGCTCATCCCGCCATTGTATATTAATGGCGCAGATAGGGTTAATATTCCATTATCAGGGGGAAAGAGATTGTTAGTTAATGGGTATATATATATATATATATATATATATATATATATATATATATATATATATATATATATATATATATATATATATGGATAATAATAAAAGACTCAATGCTAGCAATATATCGGGTCGAACCCTACGCAATTCCCCCTGGAAACTATTTTGATTAATTCGCTAAGAATTCCTCATTATGAGTCGACTAACCTGTCATTATCCTCACCCATCATCTCACCTCACTCATCGTCACTCATTAAAAAAACACAATTACTTTTCATTTTATACAACTTAGAATGGCAAACAAGCTGATGGTCCACCTGATGGAAAGTGACTACCATCGCCTATAGAGATATGAGCAGTACCATGGATATTCCTCTGCACCCTGTAAATTCACACCACCCTTCAAACCGAAACATAGCCATGCAAACACAACTGCTTTATGGTTGAAACACGATTGGGACAGAGGCACCCAAGCTATTTTTTATCGAAATCAAGAGATAACTCGTTATATCGTGCTCATGATGCATTGGGGGACGAGATCGTTTGTAACGGAGAGTAGCGGCACGTCAGGCCGACCTCCACGTGAATCCCCTTGGAAATCATTTTCGCTAATTCCTGGTGAATTTATCATGATGGACTAACTAGCCTGTCTATCTTTACCTGTCATCAGTCACTGGTACCCTGTCAAAGTATACGGATAACGCAGGCGAGGCTACTATTCCATTTTTATAATTAGTAAAAAAAAAATGGTAGTTTCTGAAAAGGACTGGAAAATAGAAGCCATGTCGTAAACTTGAATATACTTGATAACTAAAGGATTATGATAATATATCTTGTAACCTGTTTCTAACCTGTTTCTTTACATTTTCAATAGGTTCCGTTTAAAAAAGACTAAAACTATTTTGCAATGAACATTATTCTGCTTTTATAAAGTTATTGCTTACAATTTCACAATTTTGGAGTGCACGCATCTCACTGCTCTTTACTATAATTAGTTTTAGCACTAAAACACAGATGTCGCTGTAAGTACTAAAATTCCAATATATGAATGTGTTACGTCGCCAGAAATACTTAATTTAGGAACCAGCAGGAAAAGTAATAATGTACTTACATGCATTGCATGTACATTATTAAAAAAAAACTTAATGTTAAAGCATAACATTAAATCGTTAGTCTTTTGGTTGAAGTGAGGATGTGTTCATACAGTTCAGGTGTACGTGATACTAAACATACGGAAAAAAGTGACGGGAACAGTGAACATTTAATTTTAATTAAAGTGTTGTACATAGTTTGAAAATTCATAAATACGCGGTGGGGCAATGAGTAATTGTCTAGTATGATTGTAATGTGTACTTGTAGGAAAATAACAATTTTCAAGTTACGAACCTCTTATACGTGATGCTGGCAGAAATGGTCGTGAAAATGGCGACATATTGCCGTTGAATAAAGGAAGTAGAAGAATAAACATACTACGTCTATCTGCCTATTCATTATTAACATAAAAAAAATATAGATGCTGAAATCCTGTTAAAGGTGGATAATGATTGGTTAAATCGTTGAGTCTCTAATTATGTATTATTTTGCGATTTTAATAAAATTTTAAATGCACAGTTTTCTTAATGTTTAAAATAAATCAAATTTCTATTATTCACCTATTCGTATAAGTGCCTTTTTATTTGATTAAAAAAAAAGATGGTTCTAAATTCGGTTGTATTTTTTTATGTTCGTTACCTCGTTATTGATTTATTTATATACATATTTTTGGTGAGTTTTACTGTTTTCACCAATGCACTCACTAAAAAATAAAAAATCAAACATTACAATAATACAATATTGAAATAATTATAATAATAAAAATCTAATTATGTTATATAAAATAAATATTAAAAATGCATTTCTGCGTAATTTGTTACCGCTCTGCGAAACTCTGTGGCAGTACAGTGAAATAAGTCCAGATTAGAATTCGCTACTACCTCATTGAGCAGACGTAGCGCCCTCGTGAGTGGCGCCTGATCAGCATGAAATGTCCTGTTGCGTGGTAGGGCAAATATTCCGTGATTACGGTCACGCTTACTGGTCTCACGCGGTCTGGGACAGACATGCTTATGAGATTCAATAAAACGCATTGTACTTTATTCCTCTAAGTATACTGTAGAAGTACATTACGTTATCTCATAACTTCATTAGTTGTAAACCTATTTGAAGAATTCTTTTTTTATCTGGAAGGATACACGTGCAGATTGCTCCCGTAGAAATTTTTAGAAATTTTCAACAAAGTTGCTTCAGTAGTTTAGTTTTTAAATAAAAATAACTGGTTTTAATACAATTAAAATAGTTTTTTTTTCGTAGAACACAATTATCATCGTATACAAGTTTTTTTTTTTATTTTAAATCTTTATAAGAACACAATTTTATTGTTAGGTTTCTCACAGCTTTTAATGTCGTGTTGGAAATGTGTGCTTCAGTAGAGGATAGAACGACAGACATGATAATTCTGATGATGATTCAATACGTATGTATCACGTCCAATTTGTGTGTACAAATGGGCATAAGGGTATATTGGGAGAAAGGGATTGTTAATAATGACGATTAGTAACCACATGGCTAGCAATATACTCTGTCAGGTCGTACTTCTCGTGGTTCTCCGTGGAAACCATCGTGATTGCTTTATTGTTAGATTCGTCACGGTGGGCTAATTGACCTGCTTCATCCTCATCTAACATCCCTCGCTGGTGCCCCGCCAGTGTATACTGATAGCGTAGACGGAGTTACCATTCCATTGCCACCCATTAAAAGAAAAAGTGTATATTTGTTTCAACTCGGATAACATTTTAGTGGATTAATCAAAACATAAGTAAGTTTATGTTAACAAAGTTACAATCAGAGTCTAAGAAGCCGAAGACATATACCTATTCGTAGAGCGCTTAAAGGCAACACTATTATACGGGTAGAGCAAATAAATAGAATTTTGTTTGTCTCGTGGCTTCAGACAAGTTTCTTTGTAGGTGCCTAGTTCAAAGCTTTATGGAGTTAGTGAAGTTTACATTATATACCGAGGGGCAAGTTTAACTCTGGCTGCTAAGACGTATACTTAGATACAGTCTCTATACATATTATTTGATTATCAGCCGATTTAGAAAAAAAGGAGTTTCTCAATTTAGCTGTATTTTTTCTGTGTTTGTTACCTCATAACTTCGTCAGTTGTAAACCGATTTGGAATTTTTTTTTACTTACAGATTGATCCAATAGAAATTTTATCAAAATCATGCATTGCCTACTTATTTTTCGATTCGCCCAATGGTTAACTGTTAGAGATCCCCGTCCGATATTAAATCCGCCAAATAAACATACTGTGCATTA